AGAAAAAAAATAGAATGAGCTCTTTTTTATTTCAAATCGAATGGCGTTCACAGAATTTTGATATCTCTTCTCGTTCTTTTGGAATCGCCAAAATCAAGAGGTCCTAAAGATATTGACCGCACAACATGAGAGAAAATACGATAAAGCCGTTCTCAATCGGAACAAAAAGCAAGTGACTGATTTTTTCTTCTAGAATGAACGAAAGGAGAGGGAACACTCTCTCACTCTCTAACAGATTCTGATGACTAATCTTTTCCATCATACAAAAATTTTCAAAACAACTGCAGCTTGTGATGAAATATCATTAGAAACTGAGAGAGACAGTTGATGAGAAAGCATATAGTGGGCGGAACATTGATTCAAAGCAATTTCTTGAAGTGGACTACCGTAGACCTCAATGAATCATCTCAAAATGAATCGGAATTGTCANGGCGCGCGCACGCCGAACGTTCGTAACGGATTGTCCGCGAACCACCTGTGTAATCCCTAATAATTTCATGTAAATATCTTTCTGAATCCGTACCACTTGTCATGTCTTCTGCGACCCTGTTACTCTCTACATTCCCATTCGTACTCGACGTCGTACCAGCCTTAAATACGCACCCCACCCCTAAACACCTGTATTCATTGATTAATCAACCAATATTGACCGTCTTTATTGGCTAACCAATCAATAGGGTCTTCTAGACACTCTATGGTCTTATTTTCTATTCCATCCAGTTCATAGTCTACTACCTTTTCTCATATTCTCTAAAACAGTGATTCTACTCTATTGATCCATTTTTTCAACTAATATGAACAATCAGAGATTCCCCCTCCACCATTTATCCAATGATCTCTGTTCAGAGATTCTGCAAACTATGGACCTCCATGAAATGTAAATTTATTTTCTCAAACGTTTTGTATTCATTGCATGGATCTTACTTGATTTCAGGATTTCCTACTTGGTCCTTTCAAAAAAGGCTCATGCGATGGTTAAGTCTCTTCAGTTACCGATTGTGTCGGTCAATATAACAATGAAGAGGGTTCGGCCGATTATAACTCTGCAATTCAACGGATTTTTGCTCAAGTTTAAATTCTTGATAATGCGCAAAATCTCGGAAGGAAAAACAAGTTTAAATGATCTTCCTGACAGAATAATAATAGTAAAGGAAAACGAAAGGAGAGTGACATCAAAATTGACTACTTTGTTAAATCAAGGAATGAACTTGGGAGAGTGGATTCAACATCTCTGCTCATTTTCCAAATTCGATAATTCGATCCGACATCATGCCGATTTTTATATTGGAAGAATGCTATTCGACACTCAAACACTTCGAGATACATTTCCAAAACTTCACAGCATCGTTATAGACGGAATGAAAGCTGAAACGAACGAGCACACCATTTTCACCGCTCAAACCATTTTGAGAGCGTTTCTCCCAAATGTTGAATGCGTCAAATTGAATGATGTCCCTCTCCAAGAGAATCTTTCTTCTCAACACATCGGAATGACGAATTTTAAAAAGTTGGAGATAGATTATCAAAGCAATCTGAATATCGACGATCTTTGTACATTAAATGTAGAAAGGTATACTACTCAGACCAATCAAATTCCGCCACGTTGTTTGAATCGTTTTTTCAAATTGTGGATTAAAGGATCCAATCCGAAGTTGAAGGAATTGCTCATCTTGTGTGATACGGTAATCATCTCAGACTGGAATGTCTTTCTGAGAGGATTAAAAACAGAAAAAGTTGCAGCAGACGTAGATTCGAAAAAGTTCAAAATTGTGAATTATCGTGGAATTTGCGCTGAACTGAAAATCTACCATTCTGACGGAAATCATAGTGTTAAATTCAAAGTTCCATATTAATTGATGAAAATGATGTTATTTTTGAAATTCAATAAAATTTTGATATTATTTTCTTGTTCACCATTGCTCCATGAATCGAGAAATGATTTTAGTATTTTGACCCCGGATTCCGAATTTCCGGATATCAGAATTTGGATTTCTGGATTCTAGTTCATGTGTGCTGAATTTCGTAATTTTAATTTTGGATTATGTACTAAATATTTTGTAATGGAAAAAAGTACCAATCAGCACGTCTTTTGATAATATACTTGCTACATCGTCCACCAAAAACGTCGGTGGTATTTTCACATGAGCTCTCACATGAGCAAATGAATAGACAATAAGAGGGAATTACTAGTAATTTTGATGCTCATATTTATTGAAAAAAACCAGTTCAGAAAAAATTCTCATTGTTCCAATGAAGCAGCAGCAACGTTTCTTCTTTGTCTTCTCTCGCAATCCATCGATGCTCCTGAGATGACAATTGTTTTGTCCAAATTAAGCAAAAGTTCCATGGGTTTCTCGGAGAATTGTCCGAGACCTTTACTGTGAACAGTCATTCGAACTCCTTCATCCATCCAGCGCCACGTGTCACAAGAGAGCTTGACCGATTCGGATTTCGGAACCTTATTCATGCGGTACACCAGACCATCTGAACAAATTTTGAAATTTTTTGGAAGCTTCGGTATATGAATTCAACTCACTGAGCGTAAACATTTCCGAACATGCACGGAAACTGAATTTCGGGTCAAAATATCCTTCAACATTTTCAACCTCTCTGGTGGCAAGTTTGTTCGCGAGGTTTCCCAAGAATGTTTGGATTTTTTGATCCGTCTTGTTGATAGGATCAAAACCAAAGACCATCAGGAATAAGATGGGAAGAAGGAAGAATTTAGCCAACCACATAGGGAAAGAATTGAATGGAAACTAGAAATTTGAAGAGCTTACTTCCTTTTGTAGTTTCTGTGTTAATCGAATCATCGTTTTATTATCGATTCCTCGAAAAACATACATGGGAAAAATCGGAAAAATATTTTGGAGCTTTTCTGAACTATCACGAGAATTTAGAAGAGAAAGAGTGAAAAGAATATCGTCGGAAAGGGATTTTAAAAACGAGAATCGAAAAGCGCGACGTGGTATAACCGGAGTATCAGGTTCCTGTAATAAAAAAGGATAAGAAAATCAGCAAGATCTGTCAGAACAACGATTTATTCTGAACAAAACAGGTCAAATTAGATCTCAAGTGGATCAAGGACCATAATTCGGTCTAATTTCGAAAGATATGCAAAGTTTAGAAGGTTTTATTTGTCGCAATGCTTCAGATCCGGTAGCTTGTTTGGTTAAGAACTCACCATGCCAACCTTTAATGCTGGCAGCTTTGGTCCATGGCTTCACACATGCTCTGAACAAAGAGACAGACCTATGAGTGTGTTGGTGATTGTCTGTCAAGTATTTTCAAAAAAAAAAAAAAACTAATTTACCTAAATTTCATCTAAAGAATGATTTTTGGTCCATCTGATTACTGACTAATTACGGTCATAAATATCGGAAATAAAGCAATGTTTCCCGCTATTTGCATGATAATGTCTCCCTCCATATGTATCGCTTGTCATGTCTTCTGCCCCCATTTTCTCTGGAGATCTCATCTGACACCTTGTTACCCCGTACATTTCCATTTGCACTTAACGTCGCACTTGCATCAAAAAAGCGTTTTCCACGCGAGACCCATTTTTATTGATTGACCAGTTAATCACATCCTTCTTTATTGATCAATCAATCAATAGGGTCCTCTAGACACTCGATTGTCTTTTTTCTGTTCCATCCAGTTTGTCGTCCGCTGTCTTTTCTCATCTTCTCTAATACATTCTAATACAAGTCTATTAATTTATTATTTCTATCAAATATGAACGGTCAGATATTTCCCTTCCTACGTTTACCCACTGATCTCTGCTCAGAAATTTTGAAAACTATGGACTACCAAGAAATGTGAGTTATATTTCTCAAACGTTTTGTATTCCTTACATGCTTTATTTCAGAATTTCCTACTCATTATTGTCAAAGAAGGCACTATCAATGATCAAAGCTCTCCAATTACCAATTTCTTATGTTCAGATAAGAATGGATGCACAGGTGGCCATATTTCTAAAATTGAAAGGAATCTACGTGGAACTTGAGTTCAAATTTATAATGCCGAGGAATTACAGAAAATACGAAACGAGCTTAAATGATTTTCCCGCCATTGTAGAAAAAATAGAAAGCAACAGATGGAGAAAATCTGAATCAACAATGACAAATCAAGGAATGACTCTAGGAAAATGGATCGAACATTTCAGCCTATTTCCCAGTGATCCGAGGAGTCTTCTGGTTGACTTTTATGTTGGAAATATAAAGTCCGACATTCAAATCCTTCGGAATATTTTTCCAAAACTGGAAACATCGTTATAACCTGCGGAAAAGTGGATCCGAATGAGCGGGACACTCTCAACACTCAAAACCTTTTGAGAGCGTTTCGTCCCGATGTTCAAAAAATCCAGTTGACTCGTGTCCCTCTTGATGAGAATATTTCTCTTCAACACATCGGAACGGCTAATTTGAAAGATTTGCAGTTGTATTATCAAAACGATCTGAACCTCGTTGAAATTTGTTCCTGGAATTTTGAAAGTTGTATGATCAATATAAGGATTGATCAACTTTCGCTTCGTGACTTGAATCGATTTTTCAAAATGTGGGTTCAGGGATCCAATCCAAAGTTGAAGGAATTGTACATTCTGTGTGGCACGCAGATTATCTTGATTAAAGGATTGAAAATAGAAGAAGAAACAGAAGAACAAGGAGAAAAGAAGTTCATGATCAGAAACGTTCGTGGTATTGGTGCTGAAATCAGTGTCTTGGTGCTGAAATCAGTGAGTATGATGAAGAATTTCTAATATTGAATTTAATCTTTCAAATTAATTATTGAAAATAAAATTATTTCTGGCCCGTAACAAAGATTGGTATTATTTTTTTGTTCACTATTGTTACATGAATTGAGGAACAATTTTCATACTTGTAATCCGGGCCTTTGCCGGGCCTTCGCGGGCCCTGCCATAACTTCTTTCAGAATCAATGTTTTCAAACCAACTTAATTAGATATGATAGAGCTCCACGAGTACTACAAATCGGTATCATTTGGAATAATGTATCTTGTCTATGAACAGAGTTACAGAGCAAAAGGAACAAAAAAAAAGCTGGCCCGCCCGGGCCTGCCGGGCTCTGCAAGAAAAGCCACTTTATGATCTGTAACTTTGTTCATAGATAAGATACAGTATTCCAAATAATACCTTTTTGTAGTACTCGTGGAGCTCTATCATATCTAATTTAGTTGGTTTAAAAATATTGATTCTGAAAGAAATTATGGCAGGGCCCGCCAAGGCCCGGCAAAGGCCCGGATTACAAGTATGATAATTTTAAGATTCTGACCCCGCTTTCCGGATATGTAGATGTCGGAAAAGCCACCGTTCTTCTCTCCAACCGCAAATTAGATTTTGCGGTGCATTTGAGTACTAACTAATCACGGTAATAATAATCTAAATCAGAATCGAAACAGATAATTAATCCCTTAATTGGTACAACATGGCATGACCTCTGGCATAATTTTTCCCAGGAGTGCTCTTACGTTACCTTGTTATTATTTTGGTTCCTATTCGTATGTGACACCCCTCCTGCATGATACGCGTTTTCCACTCAAGACTAATCTTTATTGATTGGCCAATCAATAAGGTCCCCCACCCCCGTCCTCTAAACACTCTATAGTCTTATTTCCTATTCAGTCCAGTTTAAAGTCCACTATCTTCACTTATATTCTAGCTTACTTATTTATTATTTCTATCAAATATGGACGGACAGAAATTTCCCTTCCGCCGTTTATCCAATGATATCTGTTTGAAGGTTCTGAAAACAATAGACCTCCATGAAATGTGATTTTATTTTCTTAAGACGCATTCTCTGTCTAAACTAAAAATAGTGTTGTGCAGACAAACTCAAACTAGTTTTTACGCATTGAGATTGGACCGAAACTGAAGACCGAAACCATTTTGAGATTGAAAAAAGGAAATTTGGTTCGGACTCTCTCAAAACCGAAATTGTATCGCCGGAGAAAACTTTAACATTATTTGAGGAAAAACAACACCAGATTGAGTCCTGTCGTGCCACAGAACACAAGAAAATTTTTCATTTCTGTTTGAATATCCTGAGTTCCAAAGCAAGTGATAAAAGTGGCGGGAAAAACCTTTTTGTTTAAATATGCCCCTTGAGGAGTTGAACTTGTCGAGGCGAGTATTAAATGTGCGGCGCCGGTACCGACTGAGCCACGCGTGCCAAATTGGAGCGGGCGCCCGATGGTAAGGGTGAGGACGATCGCTGTACGCAGAGTTACATTAAGCGTTGTAAACCGTTACGGTAGAATGCATACCCTGGCTACAAAAATCTTACGAAAAATTTTCATCGAATTTATACCAGATGTAGAAGTTGTACTCGGTAGCATTTTGACAAAGTTTCAAGATTTGTTCTCATCGTCTTCATTCATTTTTTGCATAGCTTAGTTTTTTCAGTGGAAGTGGAATTGAAAGCAATTCTTTTCGCTTTTTTTTGGTAGCTCGAAAAGTGTACCAAACCGATGAGAACTAATCTTGGAACTTTGTTAAAATTCATCTCGTACAAATTAGATCAAATTGGGCGAAGGTCAATTTTGGGTGAATTTCAGGTGCTATGTCCACCTGGTGGTGAAACTTCATTTTTCAGCTTTTTTTGGCCTGAAACATGCTTTATTTATTCAAACACAATCAAACATTTTTTTCTATTTTGCACGCCGAATCTAAATTCGGTGTTACCTTTTTCCAGAAAATGTTGACTTTTTCACATACAACAACAGATTTCCCGTGATTTTTTTCAAATTTGGAACAAAAATGAAAAATGTCAGCTGTAAGAAAACGAGTAGGATTTTTGTTTTTTTTATCAACGTATTTATTATTTATTTTAACAATGCCTCGGGCTTCAACATACGAAATATCAATTAATGCAAACTATTGTGAAGCTTTGTGTACAGGGGACCATTGGCTTGAAGTTAAGTTCTACAGAGAATGTTTCTTAGTTTTGTATCCGTTACATCGAGCTTGATTGGTTTCAGAATTTTCTACTTATTCCTATCGAAAAAGGCCACTTCTATGGTCAAGACTCTTCCATTTCATATTTCGTCTGTCTTTATAAGAATGCTTAAACGTCCGGAGATTTCTCTACAATTCGAAAAAATTTATTTAGAAGACATTTGTATCGTGTTCACTTTGAAAATGCCAAGAAGCTACCAAATTATGTCGAGTTTGAATGCTTTTCCGATTAGTGTAGAAATTAAAAGAATACAAGGAACTGTGTCAAATCAAGGAATGCATTTAGGAAAATGGATTAGACATTTTGATTCATTTTGCGAGGATCTCAATGCTGTTTTTTTATTGGAGATATAAAATTCGACATTCAAAGCCTTTGGAACACTCTTCCAAAACTGAACCGCATCGATATAAACGACCCAATGGATGAACCGGACGATCGCGACATTCTCAAAGCTCAATACCACTTGCGAGTGTTTTTCCCTGATGTTCAAAAAGTGAGACTTCATCGTGTTCCTCTTCAACCGAATCTTTCCCTGCAGCACATCGCAATGGCGAATTTGGAAAATTTGGGAATAGAATATCAACGCGATCTGGATCTCGTCGATGTTTCTACATGGAATGTTGAAAATTGTATGATCTGGACAATAGATGATCAAATGTCGCTTCGTGACTTGAATCGTTTTTTGAAACTGTGGATTAAGGGATCCAATCCAAAATTGAAGGAATTTTTATTTATTGGAACACGGAGATCATCCCAAACTGGAATGTCTTGCTGAAAGGTTTAAAAGCAATAGAAAATTATGCGATGGAGGAAGAAAAAAAAATCGTTACAAGAAATATTCGTGGGGTTAGTGCTGAAATCAACGTCGAGCATGATGGAGACACTGCAGTTGTTGTATTTACTCTTTCCGATTGATTATTGCAAAAGAATTTATTTTTGGACCTCTTCAAATTTTTGATTTTATGTTCTCGTTCATCATTGCTAAATAAATACTGTTCATTGGAACCTCGCGTTTTTTTATCATCCTCTGCTGAGTTCTCTATAGAATATGTCAGAACATTCAGATTGTTCCCAATGATTTTCGCCTCGCTCAAAGTAACTCCGATGGTTTCTTCGAACATGCGTTCTAGCATTACTTTGATTGAAAGATGAACAGTAATGTCTGACAATGCTGTATTGTATGCAGATGTGAGCGTTTGAAACCTAGAACTGCACCAGCATCGGGTAAGACATTGTTTTGTTATGACATTTACAGAACTTCAAGCATAATCAGATAATTGTTTCGGAATTTTTTAATAATATTTCTCATGAATTTCTTCCAGATTCGGTTCCCAAAAGTGAATAACCGATGCCATCCCATTTGAATCCATTAGCAATGTTGTGGAGAATCTTCACTGAGAAATCGTCGAGTTCTTCGTTATCTCTTTGTCAACATCTGGTTCATCATGATTGTTCGAGGACTTGTTGGTGTTTGCATATAATAATTAAAAGATACATCTAATCAATTTCTTCTTAATTGATTTTTCCGATCATTTCGCTTCCACACTCACAATCCTATTTATTCCCTTCCCTACCAATTCGTAACCAACAAAAATGACTGCACTAATGAATAATTTGTTATTAAATCAATATTATGTATTGTTTAATATTTGGTTTTTTTCAGATGTTGGAGATACAGTACCGTGCAAAAGGTTGTCCACTCTGTGGTTTTCGAGCATAACTCTCTTCAAAATAGAGCTGACGAGTCAAACTTTTTTGTAAAATGTAGCGCATCGCCCGCGAAAAATAATGCAGAAGTATTTTTATCTTTAAAAAAATAAGAAAAAAATTTTAACGAAAAAATTTTTTTTGGAATTTTTTTTTGGAAGATTTTTTCAAAAATCTTGAAAAAATCGAAAACGATCATTAATGTGAAACATAACATTTTGAACATAATCAAAGAGACTTTGACCAACTTTTGAACTAACAATACCTCATTAAGATACAATTTTTGTGTATGATATGGCTGTTCAAAGTGTTAACTAGAGATTTCCGGCTTCTGGGCTTGTTTTACCATCGTTCCACAATTTCAATTTTTCAATATTTGACTGTTTTTATGTTTTTATCATTTATCAGGTTATCCTACAATATCTACTTATTTTTCACTCGAAAAGATGTTTCTTCAAGCTCGAAACACTGACTGTATAAATTGTGAGACAAGCTAAAACCAGCGTCAGGTTCACTTCAAGCCCTTCTGGTAGAGTCGGTTGAGGGATTTCGGTGTTTTTTTCTCATATATATTAATTCTACAGGTTAGTGGCATCCTGGAAAACATGATTTCCTTTTGTGGATGATACTACTGATTATGTTTATGTTCCTGGGAGCTCCATTTATAAATTTATAGGTTAATTTGTAAAAAGGAGTTGTTGTGCTTGTTCAAAGACAATTAGCATGAGATTTCACCACTTTTGAAAACAAATTATCAATCTGACCCAACACAGGAATTTTATAATTTGGACTCCAAAAGAAAACGAATCACGGGAGTCAGGAACTAGCATTCCGCAAAAGGAAATCATGTTTTCCAGGATGCCACTAAACTGTAGAATTGATATATATATATGAGAAAAAACACCGAACTCACTCAACCGACTCTACCAGAATGGCTAGAAGTGAACCTGACGCTGGGTTTAGCTCGTCTCACAATTTATAAAGTCAGTGTTTCGAGCTTGAAGAAACATCTTTTCGAGTGGAAAAGGATTAGATATTGTAGGATAACACCTGATGAACGATAAAAACATGAAAACAGTCAAATACTGACAAATTGAAATTGTGGAACGATAGTAAAACAAGCCCAGAAGTCGGAAATCTCCAGTTGACACTTTGAACAACCACATCATACACAAAAATTGTATCCTAAGTGATTTTTTCCGTTAAAATTTTTTCTTATTTTTTTAAAGAAAAAAATACTTTTGCATCATTTTTCTCGGGCGATTCGCTACATTTTACAAAAAAGTTTGACTCGTTAGCTCTATTTTGAAGATAGTTATGTCTGAAAACCACAAAGTGGAAAGCCTTTTGCACGGTACTGTATCTCCAACATCTGAAAAAAAACCAAATATTAAACAATACATAATATTGATTTAATAACAAATTATTCTCTTAATCAGTACAACCTGGCATGTCTCCTGCAACTCTAGAGCTCATATTCAATTAAGATGAAGAGTTGCATGGAGTTGCATGAATTTCATGAGAATGTCCTCCTCAACTTTGGATTGTGTCGTGTTCTGCCATCATTTTCACCTGGAGATCCCTTCCGCCTATTTGTTACTCTCTACATTTCCATTCGCATTCGACACCCAACACGCATTAGATACGCGTTTCCCACTCGAGACCCATCTTTATTGATTGACCAATCAATATTGACCGTGTTTATTGATTAACCAATCAATAGGGTCCTCCCCTCCTCTAGACACTCAGTCTTACTCCCTACTCCGTCCAGGTTATCGTCCACTCTATCCTCATCTTCTCCACAGTTTAATTCTAGTCTATTTTTTTTATTCTTCCTATCAAATATGAACGGTCAGAGATTTCCTCTCCACCGCTTACCCAATGATCTCTGTTCAGAAGTACTGAAAACTATGGACCACCATGAAATGTGAGTTTATTTTCTTAAGATGCATTCTCTGTCGGAACCAGAAATAGTGTTGTGCAGAACAATTCAAACTAGTTTTTATGCATCACTATTTTGTATGTTGAAGACCGAAACAATTTTAAGGTAAAAAATGTAGTTTTGGTTCAGGTGTTCAACATATGAAATATCAATACACGAAAACTATTTTGAATCTTTGTCTACATTGGACCATTAGTCTGAAGTTCAGTTCTACAGAGAATGCTTCTCAAAAGTTTTGTATCCGGTACATTGAGCTTGATTGATTTCAGAATTTTCTACTCATTCCTTTCAAAAAAGGCAACTTCTATGGTTACTGCTCTTCAATTACATATTTCGTATGTAGTGATGAGAATGGATGAACCGGCGGTGATACGTCTGCAAATCGAAAACCGCTATATCGAGTTCATATTAGAAATGCACAGAAACAACAAAAAGATCACTAATTTGAATGAGCTTCCTGTCAGTGTAAAGATGAAGAAAGTGAAAGGAACAAGTGAATTCGAATCAACTCTTTCAAATCAACAAATGTTTTTAGGAGACTGGATCAAACACTTTTTTTCATTTTCCGTAAATCTTGAAATCGATTTTCATGTTGGAAACACAGAATTCGACATTCAAGCTGTTCGTAACACTCTTCCAAAACTATAATTGATCAGTCTATTCTGTTCGAAAGATGAACCGAACGAGAACGACATTTTAAACACTCAAAACTTTTTGAGAGCTTTTCTCTCCGATGCTCAAAACTTGGAACTGCATAGTGTCCCTCTTCAAAAGAATTTCATCCTCCAACACATCGGAATGATCAATTTGAAAGAACTGCAGTTATATTATCAAAACAATCTGAATTTCGTTGATGTTGCTGCATGGAACGTTGAAAGTTGTTTTATCACGACAATGGATGATCAAGTCTCGCTTCGTGATTTGAATCGTTTTTTCAAACTGTGGACAAAGGAATCCAATCCAAAGTTGAAGGAATTTTTCGTTCATTGGAACACGGAGATTGTCCCAGACTGGAATGTCTTGCTGAAAGGTTTAAAAGGAATAGTAAAATATGCACTGGAGGAAGAAATACTCTACATTATCAGAAATAATCGTGGGATTAGTGCCGAAATTAAAATCGATCACTATGATGGAGACAAAGCTTCTGTCGTATTTCTTCTTTCCGATTGATTCTTGGAAGTAAATTGTTTTTGGATCTCTTCAAATTTTTGATATTATTTTTTGTTCATCATTGCTAAATAAATACTGTTCATTGGAACCTCGTGTTTTTTTTATCATCCTCTGCTGAGTTCTCTACATAATATGCCAGAATATTCAGTTAATTTCCGATGACTTTCGCTTCGCTCAAAAAAATACCGATGGCTTCTTCGAACGTGCGTTACAGCATTATTTTGATTCCAAGATGAAAAGTAATGTCTGACAATTTTGTATCGAATGCAACTGAAAGAAAAAATAGATCGACATAGGGTGAGACACTGTATTGTAATCACATTCATAGAAATGCGGGCTTCTCCACATAATCAGATAATTTTTGCCTAATTTTTTAATGATAAATCTCATGAATTTCTTCCAGACTCGAGAAAAATTGTCTGCCGGGTCTTTTCTATTATCCAGACAGACTATTATGTAAGACGTCAATGGTAACTTGAAAACAACACCCTGAATTTCAGCCCAAGAGCGATTTTTTGGTTTGTCTGATTACTAACTAATTACGGTTCTAAATGTCTAAATTAGAATTGAAACACAGCACTTATCAATACTCATCGCACGCAAGTGTATTCATTAATCTGTCATGTCTTCTGCCATCTCTTTTTTTTCTGGAGTGCTTTTCCACCACCTTGTTACTCTCTACACTCTTATTCGCATTCAACCCCCCCCCCCCCCTTCCTGCATTAGATACGCGTTTTCCACTCGAGACCCATATTTATTGATTGGCCAGTCAATATTAACTGTCTTTACTAACCTCTAGACAATCTATTGTCTCATTTTTTATTTCATCCAGCTTGTCGTACACTATCTTCTCTCACATTCTCTATAACAGTTATTCTTGTCGATTGATTTATTCCTTCTATTAAATATGAACGGACCGAAATTTCCTCTCCACCGCTTACCCAAAGATCTTTGTTCGGAAGTACTCAGAACTATGGACCTCTATGAAATGTGAGTTTATTTTCTTAAAACGGATTCTCTGCCTGAACTAAAAATAGTGTTGTGCAGGAAAATTCAAACTATTTTTTATGCATTGTTGTTTTATATGTTGAAGGCCGAGGCAACGTTAATGTAAAAAATGTACATGATGATAAGACTCTTCCGGTAATAGTGTTGTGCAGACAAATTCCAACCAGGTTTTACGCATTGAGATTTGACCGAAACTGAAGACCGAAACCACCTTGAGATTAAAAAAAGAATATTTGGATCGGACCCACCCGGTACTGTCCAAACCGTGACCAATTTTAGTCAAAAACCGAAAACGTTTTTTGATGGTGATAGTAATTAGATTGGACCTGGAAGGACTAATTAAAAAAATCACAAGAAATTTGTCGCCATGAAAAAGTATAAATTTTATGAAAATAAATAAAATTGGTTAACGTTTTGACAATACCGAGAGTCTGATCCAAATGTACACGTTTGTTTTAAAATTGTCTCCTTCTTCAAAATATCATATAACACTTCATGAATATTATCTTGAATTTTTCTTTACAATAGACAATTGGCTTGAAATTTAGTTCTAAAGAGAACGTGCCTCAAGAGTTTTGTATTCGTTGTCTAGATATTGCTGTATTTCAGAATTAATTACTCATTCCTTTCAAAAAAAGCAACTTCTATGGTTACGGCTCTTCAATTGCCGATTTTGTATGTTGATATGACAATGGAGGAACAACCGGTGATGCTTCTGCAATTCGAGGGCACTTCTATCGAGTTCACGTTGGAACTGCAGAGAAACAACAAAAATATTACGAATTTGTATGATTTTCCTATCCGTGTAAAAGTAAAACACTCAAGCGAAACAAGAGAGTTCGAATCAACGATCTCTAATCAACAAATGGATTTAGTAGAGTGGATCCGACACTTTAGTTTATTTGAAGAGAATCTTGGAATTGATTTTCATGTTGGAGACACACATTTCGTCACATTTCGCATTCCAACTATTCGGAACACTCTTCCAAAATTACGAGGCATCAGTATAACCTTTTCGAAAGATGAACCTGACGAGAGCGACATTATAAACGCACAAAACCTTTTGAGAGCGTTTCTCTCCAATATTCGATGCCTGGAACTGCTCAGTGTCCCTCTTCAAGAAAACCTTTCCCTTCAACACATCGGAATAGCAAATTTGGAAGTGTTGTATTTAGAATATCAAAGCAATGTGAGATTCGTCGATCTTTGTTCGTGGAACGTTGAAAAATGCATCATCGCGAAAAAGGGTGATCAAATGTCGCTTGTCGATTTGAATCGTTTTTTCAAACTGTGGATTAAAGGATCCAATCCAAAGTTGAACGAACTGTTTATTGAATGGGAGACGGAAATCATTCCAGACTGGAATGTCCTGTTGAAAGGATTGAAAATAGAAAAAGAAATTGAAGATCAAGAAGAGGAAGCAAAATATTTCACAATCCGAAATAGCCGTGATATTTGCGCTGAAATCAAAGTCTGTCATTCCGAAGACACCGCTAGTGTCGAAATGAATTGTCCCAATCCAGTCAATTAAAAACCGATTGAGATCAAAAATAGATCGGCATTTGGTAAGACACTGTTTTGATATCACATTCACAAAACTTCTAGCATCCTACATGATCAAATAATTATTTTTTTTGATAGTTTTCCTAATGATTAATTTGCAGCACACACACACACACACACACGCCCAATACTGTTTATTTTTATTCTCATTCCTATCAAATCGAAATCAATGAAGAAATGAATTCATCAATAAATAATTATTTTTATTTCGATTCTATTCCGATTGATTCTTGGAAATAAATTATTTTTGGACCTCTATAAAGTTTTGATATTATTTTCTTGGTCATCATTGCTATATGAATTGAAGACTGTTCATTGAAAACTCGCGATTTTTAAAAATATCATCCTCTGCTGAGTTCTCCTCATTAAAGATTTTCTCCAGCTTTTTGGCGTTCCCATGGGACAACTTAACTTTGCAAAAACTAATAAACTTCTTCTTTATTGAATTTATCGACCATTTTGCATTCATACTTACAATCCGGTTTATTCCCTACCCATTTGTGATCAACAAAAAACGACTTCATTAATAAATGATTTTTTAAACAGATATTATGGAGGGTACTATGAATTCGAACTTTCCCGAAATCGAACTCGTTCAAATTAGAACTGTCCCTTTGTCGAACACGCCCAGAACAGAACAAGAACAGAATCGAACTGCTACAAATTCGAACTGTGCGGTGTCGAACTGTCCCGGATTGGAATACTGTTAGCAACAAGGCGCGCTTGTTTTTTAAAAATTACTTTTGTCAACAAATTTTGCATGTTTTCTACAGAAAATAACTTTTTTCACTTATTTTGGATGTTTTGCGGATTTCTCTTCCCGTTTCGAAAATATAAACTTTTACAGAAAATGGCTCCTCGTAAAAACAAGCCGATCGTCCAAGTTCAAGGATATGCAATGCGATTCAAAAAAATGAACAAAAATGGAACAGAGCTTTTTTACTGTGTCGGGCGGTAAAAAATTGCAGCATTACTATAAAACAATATTTTTTCCAGAGAAAGACGAGCTCGATGTGATGCAGCTTATCATTTCGACAGAATGAACAACACGTTCACTGTTAAAAAGCAACAACAAAAGTGAGACACGGATTTTGTCAGAAGTGAAGTTAGTAGTGAAGTTAGCATACAAAGATGGATTGGAATGAGTTGAAACTAAATCCGAATTTCCAGGTCTGTTTCTACTCTTGAACACCTAAATTGATTTTTTACTACACTTCAGGTGAATCGAAACAGAAAACTCACCAACGCATTGAAGGACGGGAGACTCATCAAGACGCTAATACATCAGCCAATCCCGCCAATTATGCCTTTGACTGGTCTCAATTTATTAGACGCCATCTCCGACACCCATTCTGTTTAAAAGTCATGAATTCTTTCTTTTTTAACACACATTTTCTATTTTCAAATTGTTTTTTCCTCACTATATTCAAATAAAAATGCTTTTTTTTGTTGTAAAAATGATTTTTTTTTCTGGAGAAAACTTGAAGTTTTCAAAGGTAATGCAAGCGCGCTCTGTTGCTAACAGAGTTCCAATCCGGGACAGTTCGACACCGCATAGTTCAAATTCGTAGCAGTTCGATTCTGTTCTTGTTCTGTTCTGGGCGTGTTCGAAAAAGGGACAGTTCTAATTCGAACGAGTTCGATTTCGGACAGTTCGATTTCGGGAAAGTTCGAATTCATCGCACCCTCATATTATGTATTGTTATTGTATTGTTTTTCATTTCAGATGTTGGAAATAATTTTTGTGCCGACTAGTTTAACACACCTTTATTTTGAAGTGGAGTAAACGGAAGGAACATCGAGTAGAAAACACTTAAAAGAAAACTCAACATTCATAACTTCTTTCATTAATCTACTCAATCCGTCGTCCATCACAGATGTCGGATAGCAGGAAAGCTCGTAATGCTATCACGATATTTGGAACTGACAACATTTGATTTATCAAGCAGTCGAAACGAAAAAAAATTCTTCTGGACTCTCTAGAAGAGCCTAGAACAAAAACCAAAACATGATAAGCTCGCACTCAACCCTGAAAATGTATTCAAATTGTTTTCTGCCTCTTGTAGACATTCTTTTTCGAAAGTCCGAAACGCAAAACAGTTCAAATTTTGAGAGTTATGAAACGTTCAAATGGTTCGATACAACGAAGATCTCCAAATCAGGAAGTCTGTATAGTAATGAAGCCACCTTATCGACCTTCAATGCTTTCAACTTCGTTTATTGACTTTCCACTGCCATATGCTTCAAATGAATAGCAATACGGAGTTGTCTGCCGGGTATTTTCATTATCCAGACAGGAAATTATGATAGGCGTCCATGGCAACTCAAAAGCATGCCCTAAATACCCTTGAACATAGTCTGAATTTTGCTTGAGGTCAAATTCTTTGGTCCCCCTGATTACTAACTGTTAACGGTTATGAATATCTAAATTTGAATCAAAATAGAGCACTGTACACCAAATTTCCACTAACTGTTATTGTAATTGGGAATTTATTACGACCCTGTGTCGTGGGAAGACAAAGAAAAAAAACAGTAATATATCAAACCACTAAAGACCACATTCATTTCAGATGAAGAGCCTTGATTTGCATGAATTGAATGAGAATGTCTCCCTTAACCAGTACAACCTGTCATGTCTTCTGTCACCGTTTTTCCCTGGTCTTTACACTTCATTACTCTATACACTCCTATTCGCATTCGACCCCCTCCCCCCAAACTGCATTTTCCACTCGAGACCCATTTTTATTGACAGATCAGTCAATATTAATCGTTTTTATTGACTAACCAATCAATAAGTCCCTCTAGACACTCGATTTTCTCATTTTCTATTTCATTCAGTTTGTCATCCACTATCTTCTCTCATATTCTCTAATACAGTCATTCTACTCGATTACTTTATTTTTTTTCTATCAAAAATGAACGGTCAGAGATTCCCCCTCCACCGCTTACCCAATGATCTATGTTCAGAGGTTCTGAAAACTATGGATCTCCAGGAAATGTGAGTTTATTTTCTTGAAGCGCATTCTCTTTTAGAACAAAAATTGTGCTGCGCAGCAAAAATCAAACTACTTTTTATGCATTGTGGTTTTATATGTTGAAGGCCGAGGCAATGTTAAAGTAAAAAATGTACATGATGATAAGACTCTCCCGGTACTGTCCAAACGGTGACAGATTTAAAAAAAAAACTGAAAATGTTTTTTGATGGAGATAGTGATTAGATTGAACCTCGAAGGACTAGTTTAAAAAATCACAGAAAATTTTTTGCCGTGAAAAAGTTGAGATTATTTGAAAATAAATGGGTGGTTAACGTTTGGACAATACCGAGAGTCTGATCCAAATATACATGTTTATTTTTAAATTGCGCCCGCTTTAAACACATTTCATAACACTTCATAAATACTATTTCGAGTTTTATTGTAGAATAGACAATTGGCTCGAAGTTTATTTCTACATAGAAAGTGCCTTAAGAGTTTTGTATTTGCATTGAGATTGCTGTATTTCAACTCAACGAATGACTTTAAGAGAGTGGATACGACATTTCGGCTCGCTAAACATGAATTTTGATGTTCATTTTGATGTTGGATAAATCGAATTCGACATTCAAAATTTCCGGGATACTCTTCCAAAAGCGCGAAGTCTCAGTGTAGCCTGTTGGATAGATGAACCCGACGAGAACGACATTTTAGAAGCTCAAAACTTTCTGAGACCTTTTCTCCCCGATGTTCAACTTTTGCTACTGTATAGTGTCCCTCTCCAAGAAAATCTTTCGCTTCAACACATTGGAATGACAAATGTGAAAGTGTTGCTTTTAGAATATCAGAGAAATCTGAGATTCGTCGATCTTTGTACGTGCAACGTTGAAAGTTGTTTCATTTCTCAAAGGGCTGATCAAATGTCGCTTGTCGATTTGAATCGTTTTTTCAAACTGTGGATTAAGGGATCCAATCCAAAGTTGAAGGAATTGTTTATTGAATGGGAGACGGAAATCATTCCAGACTGGAATGTCTTGTTGAAAGGATTAAAAGCCATTGACAAAGAATTCGAAGAAGAAGAAGAAACAAAGTATTTCACAATCCGAAATAATCGTGATATTAGCGCTGAAATCCAAATTCTTCATTCCGAAGACAATGCTAGTGTTAAATTCAAAATAATTTGACTCCTTCCAGTCAATTAAAAATGCGATTGAGATCAAAAATTGATCGGAATCGGGTAAGGCACTGTTTTGATATCACATTCACAGAACTTCCCATAATCAGATAACTGTTTCGGAACTTTTTTAATAATGTTTTTCATGAATTTTTTCCAGACTCGATTCCCTAAAGAAAAACATCGATGCCATTCTATTTAAATCCATCAGCAATGAGGTGAAGGATCGTCACTGGAGAGTCTTCGCCTAATCTAAATAACTTTTTCTTCATTTTTTTCTATCACTTATCCATTCACACCAACAATACTGTTTTTTCCCATTTCTATCAAATCGAAACCAATGAAAAATGATTTCATCAATAAATAATTTTTTCAAAGTTAATACTATGTATTGTTTGGTATCCGTTCTTTTTTTTCAGATGATGCAGATAAAATTCGTGCTTCCTTCGGGAAGCTTTTCCAGAACTGCACAGCATTGATATAATCCGCTCAAGAGCTAAACCGGACGAGCGCGACATTCTCAACTCTCAAAACCTTTTGAGAGCTTTTCTCTCCGATGTTCAAAAAGTGGGACTGCATCGTGTCCCTCTTCAAAAGAATCTTTCCCTTCAACACAACGGAATGTTTAAAACATTTGAATTTACCGTAAAACCTCTAATAGAACGACACCCGGATCGTCCACTTTGAGCCTATATATCTCATTTCTTTTGAAAGATATCAAAAAGTGGCTAACTAGTAAAATGTTGCTGATATCCTGATAAAAGGAACTGTACAATGATTGGGGCGCAGAGATCATCCCAGACTGGAATGTATTGCTGAAAGGATTGAAATCGAGATAGAAACAGAAGCAGAAGGAGAAGAAGAAGAAAAAGAAGACGACACTGTTTATTGAAACCAAAGTCCAGCAAATTGACATGAATCTGGTTGTTGCATATTCCACAGTGTCCGTTGCAGTTGCTGATTTCAGGCAAAACGTGAAATTAGTTTTTATTCGGCAATACCCATTTTCACCTCAGCGTCCCTCTCTGAACTCCTATTGTTGATTGATCCAGTTGTAGTATTCGTTTGAATATTTTTCAAGGCTCGCACGATCATTCATAAACGCATCGATAATTTTAAAGGTTTTTGGACGGAAGGAACGTCGAGTTTAAAAAATTGCAAATTGAAAAAAATCACATCGTCAACCACAAATGTCGGATGGCAATGATGCCTTTCAATGCCATCACGATATTTGTGACTGACAAAACGTTATTTATCAAGCAGATCAACTTACTGATTGAATAAATTCACCATTCCGATGCTCTCTATTCTAGAATAATAAAATATGCCTTCAAAATTACCATTCAAATGGAATGTAGCTGCGTAGCGTTGTCAGAGTTTCTGCATATTGAAAATGACGATGTGATGACCATTGTAGTTCATATCCAGCAGCTCCTGTTGGCAAGTTTGCAGTTTTTTGACTTCAAAATACATCTGAAATCGGAAGATTTGCGTGAGAAATTCCCCAGTAGACAGATCTTTCAGTTATATAACCTTTTCTGGCTTTAAACTAACTATTTTTCACACTCTTGATTATTATATTTTTTGCAGAAAAAAAATCGTGTCCGGATCCATAAAATTGTGTGGAACCAAAAAAATATTCTTAATTGCTCGTAAATCTACACAACCTCTTCTCTTTTTGTTGCGAGACCCTTTCTCTGATTGAATGTGTGCGCGCGCGTTCTCTATGAAAGAGAGTGGAAAGAACACAGAGACATAGACGACCGGAAAAATTGGTGCGCTTGTTGCGCGTCTAGACTCTCAATTGTCTTATTTCCTATTTTATCCAGTTTGTCATCCACTATCAGCTCTCATATTCAGTCATTCTGGCCCATTGATTCATTCTTTCTACCAGATATGGACGATCAGGAAGTCCCCCTCCAAAGTCTTCCCGATGATGTCAGTTCCGAGGTTCTGAAAACTATGAACCTCCAAGAAATGTGAGTTTATTTTCTTAAGACGCATTCTCTGTCAGAAAGAAATCAGTGCTGTACAGGAAAAGTTCAAACCGTTTTTTTTTTTTGCATTACTATTCCATATATTGAATACCAAGACAACTTCAAGATAAAAATGTCCATTTGAATCTAAACCGCTCGGTACTATCCGAATGGTGACCAATCTTAGACAAAAAATGGAAATTCCTCTCCATTAAGATAGTAATTATGTTTTATTCTTGCTATTTCAAGTATCTTTCTGTTGAAACAAAAATTCTAACTCGTTTCCTGCCTGCTGAAAATTTCCATTTTACCAATTTTGAAGAAAATCACTGAAAACCTATCGTCGGGAAAAAATTTTTAATTAGATACCGGCGTACAAATTAACACCAGAAAATGTTTGTTTGCTGTTGAATATTCTGCAATTGTTGGTCAAAAAAAGCAAAAAAAGATGACTCACTTATATTGACTTTGTACCACATGCAGCAGTTCTAATTAGTAATATTCTTCCAATAAAAAACAATAATGCATAAAAACTAGTTCGCATTTTCATCTACAGACATTTGTCTTAAAATTTAGTTCTACAGAGAACGTGTCTTGATTGTTTTGTATTTGTTGAAATGAGCTTGTATTTCAGAATCTCCTACTCGTTTCGTTCTAAACATGCACATGCTATGGTTGTGGCTCTTGGATTGCCGATTGTGTTTGTGCAGATAAGAATTGAGGAGTCACCGGCGATACTTATGCACGTCGAGGGCAGTACAATCAAGTTCACGTTGGAAATGTCCAGAAACAACGAAATGATTACGAATTTGGATGACGTTCCTGTCAGTGTGAGAGTATTGGAAGGAAATGAAGAGAGAGACTATGAGCCAATTATGTCAAACCGAAAAATGAATTTAGGAGAGTGGATGCAACATTTCCGTTCGTTTTCAATGGATTTTCAAGTCGATTTTTATGTTGGAAAAATTAAATTCGATATTCAAAGTCTTCGGAACACTCTTCCAAATTTGCGATGCATCGGTATAAACTGCTTGAAACATGAACCGGACGAGAGCGACATTTTGAACACTCAAAACCTTTTGAGAGCGTTTCTTCCCGATGTTCAACACCTGAAACTGCATCGTTTCCCTCTTCATCTTTCGCTTCAACACATCGGAATAGCAAATTTGAAAATTTTGGAGATATACTTTCCAAGCGATCTGTCCAAGCGAACCAACTTCGTTGATATTTCTACATGGAACGTTGAAAGTTGTGTTATCATGACAATGGATGATAAAATGTCCATTATTGATTTGAACCGTTTTTTTCAAATTGTGGATAAAGGGATCCAATCCAAGGTTGAAGGATTTGTCCATTTATTTGCCCCCGGAGATCATCCCAAACTGTGATGTCTTGCTGAAACGATTAAAATCAACAGTAACAAAGGACGGAGGAGCAAACAAGTACATAATCAGAAATGTTCGTGGGATTAGTGCTGAAATTAGTGTCGATTATGTTGATGAAGACGCTGCTGTTGTCATTTTTAATCTTTCAAAATAATTATTATGTATGAACTTCTTTTTGGACTTCAATAAAGTTTCGTTTTTCGATAGTCCTCTGAGTTTTCCACAAAAAATGCCAGAACATTTTCATTGATTCAATCAAAAAAAAAAATTACGTGGCTTCTTCGATTCCAAGATATACCGGTCAACAGGATAAACACAAACTTGTTTTTCTGTGGATTTGTGGACATTTTAAACAATTTTCATGAGTCTGGAGCTTGACTATCAAGTTACCGATCACTTTGAAAATTTTTAAAATGTGGAAAACAGACCGAGATTTACAACTTTGCTTACATTCACAGAAGTTTCTCGAAAATTCTTAGTTTTTCAGATATTCGCCAATTTCTCGAAGGATATTTGCCAATTTAACCCTTATTTTTCCACTTTTTGAACTGAAAACATTGAAAAATGGGTATTTTCAAAATTGGCAAATAGCTGAAAGACTAGGGTTTCTCAAAAGTTAATTGAATGCAAAGTTTTCAATCTAGCTGTCTTTCTAGCCACTTTCGCCACAATCTAGCCACTTTCGAAATTTTTGAAATGATTGGAAACTTCGCTGGCAAGCTCCAGACTCTTAAAAAAGACCATAAATCAACAGAAACATGCGTTGCTGTATAATTTATTGAGCGTTGCTGTTGATGAAAAATGGGCGGTAAGTTTAAATTTCCAAATTTCAAAAGAATGACGCAAGATCGTCAACAATACGCTCAGAAGCACATGGTACTGGATGAACAGAAATGCCAAAAATTTCGTTAGATACTGCGTAGAATTTACAGTCTGCCAACTGGGAATGTTTACGACTAGTGTTTTCCGATAGCGATGCTCTCAACGATCATTTCTTCCCATTGGTGGCTCTGAAAACAAGTTTTCGACGTGGTGACATGTGGCATACCTACTGTCTAATTATAAGTGAACACCTAAACGTGTCCAGTGTTCAGACAAGTATTCGTGAGACTTTTTACACTTTTCCACGTTGCAAAACGACTTTCACCGGCGGTAGGAGAAACCATGTTCTTCGTTGACAATCGAAATGATTCTAAAATATTGATATGAAATTCAAAAAAAAGTTACCATATCTTTATTTCCTTTGCAGACATCAAAACCCAAGTCCAGTTTTCTATGGTCCATAGAAATGCGTTACATTCCACTTGAGCTAAAAAATGAAAAATGAAAAAATTATATTCATAAGGAAATTCCCAGAGGATGATAACCCCTAAAGTAAGCAGAAAAAATTGTTCGTTCTATGTAGTGAAATTTTTATTCAAAATTTGGAATGCTATTCAACAGAGGAATGAAATAAAGAAATTTTAAAAAAATGGAGTACAACTTCTTCTTCTTCTTGTTCCTCTGCAGCTTCAGGTATAGCTAGGTCCAGCAACAGAGTCGTCAACAACCTCATATTCTTCGAACGGCTCCATCGCATTGAGTTCGACATCATCTGGCCCATCAGTCACCAACCCAGCTGCCATCTCCTCGATTTCTGATGGCCACTGGCCTCCGTTGTTCTCCACAGATGCAGATGACTCGAGCAGGTCGATCGGGAAACTGGAGACGTCTCCTATTTTTTTATCAATACCCAGTTGGACGGCAATCCCCGATGTTTGCGCGGCAGGCAGTGCAGCATGGTTCTGAAAGTTTAATGGCTTTGAATTTTTATAACAAAAAAAATTTCTACCTTTTCATAGAATTTTTTGGCCATTCTGTGGAAAATTTCGCTGGCTTCAATTTGGGCCCGTCCGATCACATTTAAGTGGAAGGCATTGATGTATGCCGTTCCGTTGTCCTTCTCGTTGATCTTGATTGATTCAACAACGGCGATGAGCTGGACACGAACCAACGAGATTTTGCTGAACTGAATCGTGTCAGTTGTAGTGTCGGCAATATCCTCAAGGAGAACCGGAACCATGTGCTCCGGAGCGTCCTGTTGGTGTTGCTGCTCCATTTTCTGAAAATTTGGAATTTTATACTTCCCGCCCATTTTTTATCTACAGGACCGGTCAAAAATATACACAAAACGTATTTTTAGTTGATTTTGACCTATTTTCAAGAATCTCGAGCTTTGCTCTCAAGTTTCCGATCACATTGAAAACTTTTGAGGGTGAAAAACAAACCTAGATTGAAAACTTTGCTTTCACAGGATTTTTGGATAATTTCTAGTTTTTAAAAGATTTTTTTGCAATTTTTGAAATATCTTATTTTTGACTCGTTTTTGTACTGAAAATGAGAACAAGAGATTTTTTCAGAAATCGGCAAGTAGCTAGAAAACTAAAAATTTACAAAAAATTCTGTAAATGTGAAATTTTCCATTTCGGCCTGTTTTACACACTGACAAATTTTTCAAAGTGTGCGAAATCTTGACATTCGAGCTCTAGACCATGCTTTCTGACTCTTAAAGAACAACTTTTCAACAAAAAATCGGAATTTTTTACTTTGAAAATCAACTGAAACTTTGTTTTTATATATCTTATTGATTAGTACTGTATTTAGCAACGGTGCTCTAAACGTACAGCAGTAAAAAGATTTTGTTGAATATAACGGTCACCCGTTGATAATAACGGTCTTCAGAGATGCAGGTGTAGGTAACACAAAAAAACGAACGAATAAATAAGTAATTTATCAAAAGAATGCAAATAAGGACCCCGCTCAGTTGAAGTATCACAAACAATCTATAAAAACATTTAGGTGCTCAAAAATGAATAAACAAACTTTTCTGGACACTAGACACTAGAAAGAACAGCAAAACTGTGCGAATATCAGAATGAATGAAAGAAAAACACAAAAAAGTGAAATATTAGGTTGGCCGGAAAGTAACTATCCATTTTTTTATTCGTGATTAACAAAAAACAAGAACCATCCAAGATTGACAGGATGCACCGTCGTGGTCCACGACATGTTGACAACATCCAGGAAACTTGTGGATACCATACCTCCAAAAGCCAGCTGGCCGTGAATCAAAGTATACCTTCCCGGACGTTTTTTTTTTCTCATCGACAGTGTAAAATTATTTTCCCTCCAGATGTCTTTGAATATCTCCGAATAGCCAATAATAAAAGGGTCAAGTCTGGAGTTTAAGGAAAGTGAAGAGCCGTCTATCCAAAGCGTCTTAGGACTGAATTGAGTTTCATTAAATAACTCGAGAATCTATGTTCCATGGTAAGTCAAGTAAGACCTGGGCCGCTTTGTGTCGCAGCCAGCTGGCTTTTGAAGGTATGGTATCCACAAGTTGCCTGAATGTTGTCAACATGTCATGGACCGCGACGGTGCATACTGTCAATCTTGGATAACTCCTGCTTTTGTGTTATTCACGAATCAAAAAATGGACAGTTACTTTCCGGCCAACCTAATACAAACACTGGAGTTATTGACAAAACTAGAAATATTGTAATTAATCATTCCAATCTATACTCATTTGACCACTTATCAATCCTCGTGTTGCGATTCACTGAAGAACTATGAGAGGAAGATCCGTAGACGGTGTTGAAAGATCGTGGTGCCATGTAGAACAGGAAGTTCAGCTGGTTTGACTGCTTCATATATTCCATCCGTGCTCGCACATCATCATCCCTGGAACCCACGTTCGATTTGTCCGCTGAATCCGAATCCAAAGTGTCTAGAAGTGGTAGTAGTCGTTGTTCTTCTTCTGAAGACGAGGATGACGACAGATGTTGTTCGTTAGAGGCTTTCGTTCTGAAACGTCAAGTTTAGGGAAAAATCGCTCAATGTATACTCACCCTGACTACTCGATTATCTTTTTTCTATGCCTGCTCGGTGGCCGAATCCGAATCTCGTGTCTTCTTCACATTTATATACGCTTTGGGCCTTCCGTTTTTCTTCAAGCCCTCTTTCTCATTTTTCTCTCCTGTGTAATCGACGCCATTTCGACGATTTCAAAGACTGAGTTGCGATACTGGCGGAGCCTCAGCTGGCTTGTCTGAAATTATTGTCGGTTTTGTATCATTTTTTACAAATACCGTGCTACCCCGACTAAGAACGGCTGGAATTATGACTTTTTCAATAAAAAATTCGACAAATCAAATTCAACAAACATCAACTTCTCATGAAATTTTTTAATTATGCCGCTTCCGATCTTATCTAATTGCAATACGTCATTATCATAAATTTTCAGGTGCTGTTTCAAATCGCTCGTAGTCGGGGAAAAAGTATGACAAGACAATTTTCATAATTTCCTCACCTCAATGCTAGGTTCTCTTTTGAGCTCGTTGTGTTATTTGAGACGTTCATCACTCGTCCATTTGTTTTGATTCACGATGTAGTGTAGAACATTCAAACACAAACCACTGTTAAATTGTGGTATAACAACGATTTCTACCGACTCCGCATTTCTTGTGACAATCTAGACATTTTTCTGACTTCTGACGGTCCTTCTTATTTCTTACTTGAATATTGTGAATCGAACAGTTCCTCTCAGCGGTAAAACTCGAAATTAGACAACAAGATCGTCCTGATTTACTTCGATGCCTCCATCCTTACGTCCCACAATAGCTTCAAGGGCGTCTCATTCTATATGTAAACAGAAAACGTTTCACGGAGAGTATCATATTGTTCAGTCCGCAAACTAACCGTCAATTCTTTTTCTCGCATCAATCTCAAAGAATGATTCAGCAACTGTATTCATCGTGAAGCAAGTATGAATATCTTCATCTTCTTCAATCATAAGGTACATTGCATCCGAAAAGCAGTGAACGAAATGAATTATCGATAAGTAACTTGAAGCTTGTTGTGATCTGATCGTATTCCAAATTATCTAATATTGTTCCGCTCGATATTTCGCCGTTGTTGTTGATACTGAAATTGATTTGACGTTTCCGTTTTTGTTCATATTTCGAGAATTTTCGGTACCGTTCATATTTCGAGAATTTTTAGTACCCCGTGGCATCTATTTTAGGCCGTTTCGGTGAAATGACAAACTCAAAATTTGCTTTTTAGGTAAATGCGTTGGGTGGATCAGCTACAGAAGTTAAAGGAAGCGGCATTCACAGATAAAAAAAGATTTTATGTTTCATCAGGGACCGATGGTCGAGAATTTTCGGCTACAGTACCCCGTGGCATCTATTTTAGGCCGTTTCGGTGAAATGACAAGCTCAAAATTTGCTTTTTAGGCAAATGCGGTGGGTGGATCAGCTACAGAAGCTAAAGGAAGCGGCATTCACAGATAAAAAAGATTTTATGCTTCATCAGGGACCGATGGTCGAGAATTTTCGGCTACAGTACCCCGTGGCATCTATTTTAGGCCGTTTCGGTGAAATGACAAGCTCAAAATTTGCTTTTTAGGCAAATGCGGTGGGTGGATCAGCGACAGAAGCTAAAGGAAGCGGTTTCGTGGCTTTCTTCGTTTCGTGGCTTTTGCTTGATGAATAAGTTGTTGCTTCTCGACACATCGACGTTCAAGTTGCAGTCTGCTTGCGAATTATAGGTTCATGAGCAAGACGTTCCCAATCATTTTCCGTTGCTCTGCAAGCTTTTAATGCATTATTTCATCTGATATAAAAGCAAACTCTTCAGGAACAACAAAAAGTGGTTGTTTAGCAAAAACTGAAAACCCTTTTTTTGTTGAGAAAGTTGTTTTGTAAAAACTTACAATTCGTCGAAGACGAGCTGCATGATGGTGGAGCATGCATAATATCGCAAATTCCAGGATTCAGTTATTGATCATTTCAAGCTCCAGAAATCATCGATGGTGTTGTTGTTGCACCATCGGATTTAGCAAAAATACCAAATCGTACGATTGCAGCAAGAGCTAAAGCAATATTCTCAGTTGCGTTGGCGTCAGCGACTGAAAATGGTTGGTTTGAAAGAATTCATTCCTTGACAGCAACTACAATCAATTTTCGATTCAAACTTACAGCTAATTCGCTTCTTGTGTTTTCGATTCACCAAATGCGAACGTTGGTTTTGATCTCATCATTGGATCCATCACTCATTAGGGTTGATTGGTACTCAAAGCAGCATGATAGTTACTCGAGCCTCCGCCGGATGTGTTACCAGCCTTGGTAGCTGCAGAAGTGTTGATAACAGCGGCAGGCATTGGCACTGATGTTAGTGCGTGTGATGTTGAATATCCTAGAGGTACCGGAATTTCGTTTTCTCTTGCTGGAGCAGCTGAAAAATTGAGATTTTTCCTTGATATTGGGGAATGAACACTCACGCTTTGGAGTCGATGTTTTCATTTTATTGACGTTTGGAGCAGCATCTTCAGCCTCAAACAGCTTCAGTAGTTTCCAAAATCTTCAGTTGGAAGTGGGGATCGACCCTGAAACAGTGGTCTTCCACTTGAATCCGTTAGAATCTAGTGTCCATTTGGTCCAATTACAGCACCAGAGCAATTGTTGAAAGAAGTGGGGCGTCTGGTCCACGAACTGACAAGCACCTGAAAAATATAACAATTGTCTCTATAAACTTTCAATTTTCGGTTTCAATTTGTTGGAAGTAGTACAACGTAAAAACCTAAAACCTTACCTATCCATCGGTTCATCATTTTTGTCTTTTTTGTGGTATTCCCATCTTCTGTAACAAACACTCCAGACGAATCAGTTGCAAGTGACGTTCCATCAGGGTTGAGGATTGAGTAAATGACTGGACCAGCTTCTGTTGGCAGAGTCTTGATAGTGTTTTCATCCGTTTGGATAAAAGCATATTTTCGAGAAGCATCAGTTGGAAGAGCGAATACATCTTTGAAAAGTTTATTGCCACTGGCATCGGTTGAAATCAGCTCTCCATCTGATCCTATAACTTCTTCAGACATGTAGGTAGGTCTGGTTTACTGATTCGGTAGATTGGCTTCCAAGAGTCATCTGTGGACAATACTTGTCCAACATGTCTGGCAGCTGGATACAAAAAGATTCTGGAGTTGTCAGTGGAAAATACCTGGAACATAATGAGATAGATTCAATTTAATTCAAAATATAGAAAACTCACATTTCCTCATCATTTTCAATAAGCTTCTCATCATCAGCTATGAAATTTCCGGAAGAATCGGTGTCTTGTTGTGCTCCATCTGACTGCTCTCTAAAATATTCCCAAAATTAACGAATTTTCAATGACAATGATGAGCAAAAAATACCATTAATCATGACAGAAGATTTTTCAGAACGTTTCCAGTAGTATTTGAACTAGAGAAAAACATGTTTTCAGAAAATCATAATTATCTCTTACATATGTAGTACATTTTTCGCAGAAAGTTTTCCCAAAAACAAATAAAATCGATGAGCACAGGTCCATGATGTCCACCGAACTGAGGTATGTATATTTGAATAATTGTGTTCAGTGGAGCGCGTTCGCTCGTTTGTCTATAAAGAAAGGAGGAGGGGCACATCGTGTGTGTGGTCGTGGGGATGCAGCTGATGGCCCGGTTATGAAGGGATAGAGATATACAGAAGAGAGGGATAAGAAAAAGAGCTCAGATGGAACAGATGAAAAGGGGGGTCACGAAAGTGGGTGCACCACATCGCCTTCTTCCTCTCGTTCACACTATGGCGCCTTCTTCTTCTTGCACTATCGCGTAATGATGGTGGAAACGTTAGAAATTATGTAAAATAGGAAAACGAATTTGGTGCATCGTAATCACAATTTCACTTCACCGACAATGGTGATTCTGAAGAAAATGGAAAACTGTAACAATTTGTTTCTTTTAGGGTTCAATACAATTTGAGATGGCTCCGCCAACGACTCATTTTTTATCCCACAATCATCTCACAACCCTTCTTATGATCAAAAAAATCTATGTACTGCTCTTATTCCATCACTCAAATGGTACTGATCCGTATTTTTTCAGTTAGGAATCAAGAATAATTTTGAATGCTTGAAACTTTATTAAAATACAACAATCAAATCAACTTCTCGGGCTTGTCGCATTGTGCATCTGTGCATTTGACAATTTTGGTGATTTTCAATCCACTGACGCTAGTTGCTTCCTGAAAAATTGATTCAGATAAAGAATACATCTAATTTTATACCTTTTCCAGAATCATTTTGGTGAGGTAAGAGTTGGTCATGTGCTCTGAAGACTCGGTGAAAATTGCGATTCCTTCCATTATGAATTTTTTCCCTTTAGCAGAAATCATTTTGGCACTGAGACCCTTGGCAGCTCTCACAGTTTTGACCGTATCCTTAGAGTAGAAGTAGAAGTCCATCTCTGAAAAAACAAAGCTAGTTTCTACCGTTTTTGATGATTTCTATACCTGTTCCATTGACAACGAGAGCTGGCAACTTGACGCGATCAGTTTTCATGACATCCATCACATCATCCAAATGACGTAACAAAGTAATGGTGCAGTTGTAGTCACCAGCATGACGCTTGAACATTGGGCTGGCAAGGAAGTCATCATTATAATCTTGTGAGATCCCTGAGCGTCGGGAAGAAGCCAACGACATTCCGAGGATTGCCAGAAGACTGATCAGGAGTGTCAAAAATCGCATTTTGGAGAAATGAATGAAATTGAGAAGCATGATCATCTTTTTATGCAGGTCGCGACATCACAGGCAGGTTGGGAAAAATACATGCCGGTTTCTTTGATGATTTCTCTCAGTTCTCGCCGACTGGGAACCAAGGAGCAGTTCTCAGAAGAAAAATGGGAAACATAGAAAATGGATTTCTGAAAATTTTCATGATAGAAGTCGTCAGCTGTTGAATGTTTTGAAGTCTTCTAGGGTAAACATTTGACTTTCCTGCCGTTCTCGCCTTCAATAGAAAAATTACCGAATGGATATACCGTACTTCCTCCAATAAAAGCCCACCAAAGCCGTCCACTTTAAGCTCAATCATCTCGATTTCTGTGAAAGATATCAAAAATTTGTCAACAGATAAAATGTTGATCGTAATATTACTAATGGTTTATCAGTTAGCAAATTTTTTATATCTCTGACAAGAATCGAGATAATTTAGCTTAAAGTTGACAGTTTGGATGGACTTCTATCAGAGGAAGTACGGTGAATCATTCAGGAGACAGTCATATAGAGAATTCTCATGGCGATATTAGAATTACGTTGATATGAACATCCCACATTTCTGATCAAACTATTCAGCTGTGATCTTTGGCTTGAACTCCGTCTTTGAAATTTAATAACAATAACAACGAAAACTCACTTTCAGGCTTTATCCCATGACAGTCATTCTGAGAAATTGAGTAGAAGTAAATTTCGGCGAATTTTATCAAATTGATCCTCAAAATCGAATTTTGATGAAAGCGACTTCATGACAAGGAATCTTCATTCAATGATCATTGTCGGAAACCAGTCATTGCCGGATCCATATCAAACTTTATTCATTCCTGAAAGAAATAAAATTATTACAGTTTTCCTTTTTCAGAAGCATTATCAACATGAAGGCAGTGAAATTGCGATCAGGCAGGTTCGATTCACCAAATTCATTTTCCAATTTTTCCGACTTCCAACATTTCCACCACGATTTCGCGAAACACATATCGAAATCGCAAGAGATTTACATAGAGCGTATTGATCGATTAAATTTATACGAGGGGGTTAGGGTGGTTGGTGCATCTCGCCACCCCGCCTTTCCATATGTTCCATCTGTTCTCTTTTTCATTATCCCTCTCTTCTGTATATCTCTATCCCTTCATAATCTGACCTTTTCATCTGCACTCCCCGATGATCCAATGCTCACCACCCACCACACAACGACTACATACACGTTGTGCGCGTCCCCTCTCTTTATGACAGACGAGCAAACGCGCCCTATTGAACACATTTTTTTTGAATATGCACACCTGATATCCGTGGACCTCGTTAACCTGTACTCATCGATTTTGTTTTGTTTTTATGCGAAATGATTTACAGAAAGCGTTTTTCATGAATTGGGGTTTACTTTAAAAATATTGTTCCTGTCTAAAAGCTACAGGAAACTTGCTAACATTTTTACACAATTATTCGTGATCTTTTTAATTATGTTAATATTTCAGGGAGAAGTCAAATTGAAAGTCATTAGCGGCCGATTTCTCAGGAAACTGCATATCTAACAATAACCAATATGGTGAAAAGATAAGAGCGGGGAACCAATGGGTCCAGTTGAATAAGTGAGTTTTTTTTTGTTTCAAATCGAATTGAAATCATATATTCATGTTCCAGATACTACCTACTGAAGCATCCAGAGTATACGTCTACACACAAATCTTGTCGGATGAAGCAAGCAATGTCCAACGAATCCGTCATGTGCATGGGCTAGACTGTACCTCAGTTTTAATTGATGCATCCGGAGCAGCCATAGGAGCAAATGGAGAACCGATTGTACCTGAAGCTAGGAGAATCCTGTAAGGCAAAGATGGACCTCCATTATCAACTGATGCACCAGAAAACTTTGCTTTTTTTCCAGCCAGAGAAGTTGTTGCCCAGGCAGTACCCAGTTCCAACTGATGCATCCGGAGCAGTCTAAGGACTAGATGGAGAACCGATTCCTGCTGATGCTAGAGGAATCTCACTCGATAGAAACGGATTGCCAATACCAACGGATGATGAAGGGAATTTTATTTATATATTCAAATGAACTGGAGAAACTATTCCCAACCCAGTAGTCAACACAAAATCAGATGGAACTCCACTTGGGACAGATTCGAGCTGGGAAGATCATTACCGAAAACACCGATATCATTGTAAAGATGACTGAGGAAAAGCAATTGATCTAGGTATACAGATAAGAATTTTGAAAAGATTTAGTTGTACTACTTTTAACAGAAGTCGCTAAAGTGAAACTCGAAAATACAAGATTGTAGAGCTGATTTTATTATTCTTCAGGTGCTTTCCAGTTCGTGTTCCCGACGGTACCCCACTTTAAATTCATGCTGTTGGAGCTGATTTTGGACTAGATGGAGTCCCAACTCCAACCGATGCCGGTGGCAAACCGCGTTCCCAGGATGGATTTCCGCTTTCAACTGACAATTAAGGAAACTATGTTCTTGTTTCATTGGATGAAGACACAACTGAAGTTCTTCCCTCTGACAATTCTGGAAATACCATTTTCCTAATCGTGAAGTCCGACGGAACTCCTCTCAGCGTAGATTCTACTGTAAGCCTCACAACTGAAAGCGGAGACATCATTGATTGAGATGAAGTCAATAAACCAATTTGGTCTGATGGAACAGTTCTCGCAGAAGCCGGATCATGTGTTTTTCCACGGCAAATTAATTCAAAACAAAATGTGTTTTCTCAAGCCAATCGTAGTTTGCTGTCCCAAGCCCAGAACCAATCACCACCATGACATATCAATCGGCAGCCGCGTCACTTCCGAAGATCGTGCCCGTATATCATGGAGGAGCACCACGAACGTCATGCTTGTGAAGCTGAGATTTGTGAGAAGCAGAGAGGAACAGCGCATTTTTCGAGAGAAGGTGGTCAACAGGAAGAAAAGCAAAGGCGACAAGATGAAGAAACTTACATCGCTGAGAAGAAGCGAATCTGTGAGGAGCAGGAACGCCAAGCTACAACCGGAGCCTAGCTTTTGAAAAGAAAAGCGAAGGAGCGTCAACGTCAACACAAGGAACAAAAAATTCAACGGGTGTTGGGCCAATCATAAGTGTCATCTATCCATCAGAGAACTGTGAATTTGAAATTTCTACTGCTATGTTTTGTAATTCATTTCTTACAGATGAATCTTTGCTACGACATACTCGAACATATGGACGCAACAGCGACAAGATGAACACTCGCAACAGCTATGAATTCCGTCTTCTAAGATGATCCAATGAAGAGATCAGGGCTGGAAACTACGCGTATCTTTCGGAAGAAGTCAAAATTAACGCATACAGTCATATGCATGATGGAACCGAAGAGAAGATAGCGTCAAGACAAACACTGATGATTACACAGATAAACAGACCGAAAACGACATTTTCACACAAAACGATGTTGCTACAGACTCCGATAAAGGGATGTAAACATCTACCCAGGAGCGTAAGTGTTCATTGATCAATAGTTTTAAAAAAATTCCAATTCTTAGCTGCTCCAGCTGCGCGAGCCAATACGGAGAAGAGATAGTTGAAGGAAACGAAACTCCAGAGCACCTGCTGCAGGAGGTTCAACAGGCACACGCACTAACCCTTGTGTCAATGCCAACGCTGAAGGTACCGATTTCGAGATTTCTGCAACTATCAAGGCTGTTCATAAAAAACGCTTGGAATATTGCTCCAGCTCTGCTCGAATCGTACAGCCTGGTATACCTGCTACAGCCGCTGGTGCTAATAAACTTCATCAATGATGTCTGGACGGCAACACAACAAAAACAACATCTCGGCATTAATCAAGGAAGGAATCTCGGAATAAGTGACATGAATCCAACAATGCAAGCTCCACCATCATACAGCACCTCTTCGATGAATTGTAAGTTTTTCCAAAGAAAATTTTTCAACAAAAAAAATGATTTTTAGATTTCTCGGACCAACCGCAATTTGCGGCTCCGAACACAAAACCAATGACCATCATGACCCATCGTTTGGATGCCTCTGTCACTTCTGAAAAGCGTGTGCTTGCACAGCAACAGAAAACAATCAATCATCGAAACAGCCAACGTGAGGTTTGTGAGCAGGAGCGATCACCAGGAACGTCGCAGAGCAGAACCAATGAGCCGTAGAAGCTAACATCGATGACCAAATACAAATCCGTTAGGAGCATAAACGCAAAATTAGGATCGAAGACGAGTTTTTTGAAAGGAGAAGCGGAGAACCGTGGCAAGAACATATCAAGCGTGAGAGCATAGCTAGCTAAACTGCTGCCGTCACTGTTCAACAAGCTCAACGACGTCATTGTGCAATGTTGGGCTGCAACAGAGCAGCAGAACCAAATGAAGAATTAGCAGGTCCTGAGCATTGAAGCTCCATGGTCATTCAAGGAGATGACATGGAAAATTACTGTAAGTTTTATTTCAAATAATGGTTTTTAAATTAAAACAACCTTCTTTTTCAGGCTTCCGAATGCTCTACTCACTCACTATCGACATTCATCATGTGTGTGGTTGGAAAAGCGACTATCTACATTCCACGACTCCGTCACAAGCTCATTTTGAAAGTCTTCCCATTGATGTTCCGTTGTGACGGTCATCTTCCATTTCAAAAGGCCAAAAGTGTGAAACGAAAATCTATCAACACATCCACAGAGACCCGAACTTACCACAAACGACGATGGTGCCAACGCTGGAATTGCTGCTGCTGCCAAAACTTCTGTACCTACCAAGGCTGGCACATCTGGTGGAGGTTCGTAGCTGCTGTTGCCGCATCTGTGGCAGCTGAGAATATTGCTCCAGTTCTTGCTCCAATGTTGCAACCTGGGGTTTCTTCTAAAGCCGCTGGTGCCACAACACTACCACCGATGATGTCTGGAGTGTCAACACAACAATGAATCCAACAATGCAAGCTCCACCATCATACAGCACCTCTTCGATGAATCGTAAGTTTTCCAAATCAAATTTTCAAAAAAAAAAGGAATTTTCAGATTTCTCCAACCAACCGCAATTTGCGGCTCCGAACACAAAACCAATCACTACAATGACACATCGTTCGACTGCCTCTGTCACTCCTGGAAAGCATGCGCTTGCACAGAAACAGAAAACAATCAATCACCAAAACCGCCAACGTCAGGTTTGTGAGCAGGAGCGATCACCAGGAACGTCTAGCTCGTGAAGCCTAATTTTGTAAAGAACAAAAAGGAACAACGTATTTTATGAGAGAAGGAGGAGACTCGTCGTTGACAGGAAGCAGAGCAGAACCGATGAGCCGAAGAAGCTATCATCGATGACCAGATACGAATCCGTTAGGAGCAAGAACGGAAAGTTAGGATCGAAGACACATCTGGTGGAGGTTCAACTAACTATAATGATGTAATGCATGCCAATCTGCCAATGAGTAATGAATCTAATGATGACACCAAAGCCAACATTCTCAATTCGTTGATTCTCAAACACGCAAAACGCACCATACATCTTGGCATGCATCACGGAAAGCCTGGAATCAAAGGCTTGAATCCAACCATGCATGCTCCATCACCACATAATTCATCTCCGATGAATCGTGAGTACTTCCAAAGAATCTTTTTCAACAAAACAAGGATTTTCAGTTTTTTCTGACCGACCGCACTTCTGCGCCGAACCCTAGATCAATCACCATCATGACCCATCGTTCGTCTACCGCTGTCACTCTCACGAAACTGCTGCCCTCGCTGCTCGACAAACTCAAAAACGTCATTGTGCAATGGTTGAGCATAAGAAAAGGCTCAGCCAGCAGAAACAAACGATAAAACAGCAGCAGCAACAAGCAGCGAAGAACAACCACTAGCACAGCCATTAAGCTATAAACAGAGCTCTACTCAGAATCCACCTGGATATCAAGAAGTTCCACCGGCTCAGCAACCACATATCCAGCCACCGGTGGCTAATGATCGGTTATATGTAGAGTTCCATCGGCTTTTACGATATACACGACAGCATGGCCGAAACGTTGTGCGTATCAACGAGTTGGCGAATTACAGTCCAAACAAGACTCCTAACAATCCATCACTCTCGGAATACTGAGTTGGAGCTATCAAGGGACTCTGTTGCGTGATCATTGAAGCTCCATGCTCATTTAAGGAGATGATTATAAAGGTTGATGTAAGTTTTATTTCAAATAATGGTTTTTAATTGAAATCACCTTCTTTTCCAGGTTTCCGAATGCTCTTCTCACTACTTACTATCGACATTCATCATGTGTCTAGCTGGAAAAGCGGCTATCTACATTCCACGACCCCATCACAAGCTCATTTGGACAGTCTTCCCATTGATGCTCCGTTGTGATGGTCGTCTTACATTCCAAAAGGCCAAAAATGGGAAACGAAAATCTATCAACAGAACCATAGAGACCCGAACTTTGAGTGGAGCCGGATCGATCGCCTGCCTATTTCTTCTGGTCATTGCCGGATTCTGTTTTTCCATACATGTCGCGGGCCGGGCCGGGCGGGGCCGGTGGAGGAAATTTCTCTGGCCCGGATTTTGGAGGCAAAAAAATTTTAAGAGTCATTTTTTGAGAGAAAATTGGATTTTTGGGAACATTTTATCAAAATTTCTTTGTTTTCAGGTTTAAGAAGGGTCATGGGATACATTTCGTGCTTTAAAATTATTATATCATAGAGGAGCAAATGCATAAAAATCTTGCACACCAACAGTAAATGATTGATCATTAGAAATGCCCACGTGAGATTCATGAACATCAGGATAGAAAGAGCACCAGGAACGTCTTGCTTGTGCGGAGCTGAGAATCTTGAGGAGCAGATGCAAAAGGTAGACAATAAGAAAAGCAATTGCGACGAGACAAAGAGGCTTGTTTGGCTTACATCGCTAATGTAAGCAGAAACTAATCCGCGCATAGCAGAAACGCCAAGAGGAGCTGGAAACCTTTGCCGAGTATTTGAGAAGGGAAGCTAAGGATCGTGAACGCCAACGCAGGAATTAAGAACGACTCCAACGTGAAATAGATGTGTGAGCTCATCGGGAGAAGGTGTGCGCATAGCTCAGAAACTGCTACACTCGCTGGTCAACAAGCCTAACAACGTCACGGTACAATGATCTACAGCCCAGTGTCGAGTCTTTAAATAGTCTGGTTAGTTAATTGACTGAACAATATCTCTCCGTTTGACGCTTCTTGTTTACAGGTGGAATCAGAAGGACTTGAAAATGACTTCTTGGCAGAAGAACGAAGTGAAAGAATGTAATTCGCGATTGTGAGATATGCAACTTCGATAGTAGAAATTTTCCAAACGATGAGCGTCTCGGATGACACGATAAATGCGAAGCATATACCACAACATTGAACCACACGAATCTACAAAATCGATACCAATAGAGGTGCCACTACAGTCTTTGACAAACAGGACCTTATGTGGAGATGGCGTACCAATCTGTAATTATTGTAAGTTTGAATGTAATAAAAATTGACGACTATTTCTCAAAAGTTTCAGATAACGAGAACAATCATATCTCAACAATGTCGATGAAAAGATCACAACGAGTTCCATGTTCAATATCGAGAATTCATTTCGTTCACTGCTTTTCGCTTGAACCTATGTTACACAAACTGCTCTTATGATTTTCTTCGGATTGAAAAAGACAAAGTCAATGATGTGATCACAACTAGCTCCAAGTTCCATATCAAGAGTTCATTGACTGTTTTTTGTTTCGATGAACTTTATTTCGGATTTTCGAAGTCTGAGTTGACCACTTTCCTTCGATTGAATACGACATAATGGCGGTTGTCGGAATTCATTCAGATGTATTCTTGAGCTGAAAACTGTCTATTGCTCAAAAAGGAAATGCAGGATTTACCAGAAAGAAATATTTTGAGATGCATGTCGCTAATGTGAATGTGAGGATGGGGCATCTTTAGGTTCAAAATGTCACTCAATGAGCTATCTTCACAGCAATCGATGCAGTTTTTTGGCTCCTCAATGAATTCATCTATAGCCCAGTTTGAAATGATTTGAAAAATTGACGGTTAGTTCATTGCCGGAATGTTATGGTACTCTCCGTTGAACGTTTCTTGCTTACAGGTAGAATCCGAGAGCCTTTAAATTGATTTAGTGGCTGAAGAACGAAGAGAACGAAGAAAATTTGCAATTATGAGATGTACAAGTTCGAATTGGACCACTGAAAGGTACTGTTCATTTTAGTCTATTAAAAATGCGTAACAAAAACAGAAAAACTGAAAAATTAGCTTGTGCAAGCGTAACATACCGTACTCCCTCTATTAGAAGCCCACTCATGTCATCAACTTTAAGCTCAAGTATTTCGATTTTTGTAATAGATATAAAAAATTCGTCAACTGATAAAATTTTGGTGATATTATGATAAATAATGTATTAGTTGACAACATTTTGATATCTTCCAAGGGAATCGAGATAGTTGAGCTTAAAGTTAAAGGTTAGTAGGGCTTCTATTGGAGGAGATACGGTAATCCAAAAACCAAACTAGAAATTGTCATTTGAGCAGCCAAAATTGTGAACTTACTGAACGAGAACCATTGGACTGTCATAATTTCTGTCGTAATTTCTTTTTTCCCAAATCAGCTTGATTGGTCCGTCGGGTGTGATCGAGATGACATCGTAGTCCAGTTTTGATTAAGCCGGAAGGAGAGTAAACTGTAATGCCATTTATTGAATTTCTTAAATAGCAAGATCAGTTAATGTTACAAGAGAACTAGTCTAGATAATCTTTTGAAAAACATACTTAAAAAATCCAGTTGAAAAAATTCTGCAAGCACCCTGAAATATCTGAAATATTGATATAAAAAGGAAGATAAATATCAGAATAGTATAGAACTATTAGCCTTTTGGATATAAAATATATTGAAAAAAAGTAAGTTTTTTCATTGAGTTTTTTTTTCAATTAGAAATCATAGTTTGTGATTTTGGAATGAGGGAAAGAAGAAAGAAGAAATGTAGCATCTAGGAATGAAACAAAGTCTTCTAGAATCAATTGAGGTGAGAACTGAAATAAGTTGTGACTTCTTGAGAAAATGGGGACCTATGTGACAAAAAATGGAAAAAGTGGGAGATAGAGAGGAAGAGACAAAGGATGAAAATAAATACAAATCGAAATTTTTTTCAGCTTCAGCTCTCATTTCCATTCGAATTCTCATCTTCTTTTTTTGGTGGTGGCTTCTTCAGTGCTGCTGGCTTTGGTGGTGGAATTGGCCGGACCCTTCTTGTTGTCTCTTCTTCAACAACGACGGTGTACTCTTCGACACGTGTCGTTGTCTGAAATACAATGTAAGTTGATTGAATCTTGTAAAAATTAGATCTTACTACAGCTTCGGCTAGGGTTCCAGAGGTAGAAGGCTGCTCCGTTATTCCAGAACTCGAAGAACTTTCTATTTTCTCCTCATTCAAGGAAGAAAGGAAAGAAAACTTGAGTTTGGGTTTCCGTGATTGTGGTGGCACTGGTGGGAGTTTGATTGTCACCGCTGGATCCGTAACGGCCGATGATGAGCAAGGCGATTGTCCTTCTTCCCGCAATTCTTTCAATGCTCTTTTCTCAATCATTGCTGTCAGTTCTGCCATAAGATTGGCTGATGGAGCTGGTGGCTTTGTAACTGCCGACGACGAGGAGGGGACCGGCGTTGACCACCTTTTCGGAATCCTTCTGATGTTTTGCAAATCCGAGGGAGGTGGTGGAGGTGGTGCAGTGGGAATGGTACCCGGCACCACTACGACCGTAGACGTCTTCTGTGAAACGTCTTTGACCACTTCTTTTTCTGATGATCCTTCTTTTTCTTTTTCCTCTTTTTCTTCTGACACATCGTTTGGGCAAAAAATCCCTTTCTCCTTCAATCGTGCCTCGAGCTCATTTCGAAAATCGTATTTTGTAGTACTCAGATTCGGACTTGAAAATCGGGCACGCGGTGTTTCGTTTTTCTTCATTTTCAAGTCTTTCAGAGGATCCCTCATTCTCGGTGGCTGGGAGAGTGCGGGAGGTGGAGGTCCAGGAGGAGGAGGGGCAGACATCGAGAGTGGAGCTGGAGTTGATTGTGGTGGTGCTGATGTCAAAGGGGCTAGCGGTGGGACTGAACTTGGATAGTGAGCTGTCGTTGGAGGGGCTGGCGGTGCTTCGGTGGGCCTAGTCGATGGAGATGGCGATGGTGGTCCAGTGGGTGATGGCGGTGCTTCGGCGGGCCTAGTCGATGGACACGGTGGCCCAGTGGGCGATGGCGGTGGTCCCGTGGGACGAGCCAACGGAGGCAATGGTCCAGTGGATGATGGCGGTGGTCCAGTGGGCCTAAGCGACGGAGGCGTTGGTCCCGTGGGCCTATCCGATGTAGACGATGGTCCAGGGGATGGAGGTGGTGGTCCGGAGGGCCTGGTAGATTTCTTCTTTTCGGGATTCATGTTCTGGAGAAAAGCGATGTTGAAAAGAAGATTAAGCCGGGTATTCAATACTTCTAATCAAAAATTCAGTATTTTCTTATCAAAATCTACTCAGTAAATGTGGGCACCCTTTTCCCTAACTCTGGGCAATTTTGAAGTCTTGATAGCGGATAAGATGCTCATTTTTAGGAATTTCTGTCAACTACTTTATAGAGCCCACTTTAGATAGCTCGAAACTGGTCAACATTTGCTAGATTGCTTAAACAGTTCATTTTAAAACAGAAATTGAACAAAAAAACAGAAGTTGGTAAGAAACATGTTGTATTAGGTTGGCGGGAAAGTCTTTGTCACTCTGTTTGTTTAATCACTGTTCTCGTATATGGAGGCTGTGTATGATATCGACTCTAGTGAATAACAAGGTGATAAGAACCTTCCATATAAACAAGTCCCCATCTCCTTCCCTGCTCCTCATCTGTAATTGAAACGATATGTTTGTTCCCACTGCTATTCACATCAGACATGTTTTGATTTACCTCTTCCTATCTCACACCACGATGAAGGATTCGGAAACTTTCTTGAAGAATGTGTACAACACACATGCCCCTCACTACAATACTATTCGCAATTGGTTCCATCGTTTCGAAAAAGATGACTTCTCGCTCGATGAAAAGGATCGCTCTGGGAGACCCCGTGAGTTGGATTTGGACAAGCTGAAGCACGCATTGCAATCGGATCCATTTCAATCTAGCCGTGAACTAGCTGTCACATTCGGAGTTCACCATAGCACAGTCCTTGAAGGTTTGAAGTCTCTTGGAATGAGAAAACTTTTTGGTCGATTCATACCTCATCACCTGACTCAAGCCAACCTTGACCGCCGAGTCGACGATTCGATTACTCTTCTCACTCTCCACGCGGGCGATCGATGGCTGGACCGGCTAATAACCGGAGATGAGAAGTGGGTCTTCTACGATAATCACCACAGGAAATCCCAGTGGGTTGGAGAAGGAGAGAGCCCACAGGATGTCCCAAAACCCGACCTTCATCCGAAAAAAGTTATGCTCTCTGTGTGGTGGGGAGTGGACGGCCCCATCTACTGGGAACTTCTGCCCGAGGGCAAAACAATAACTGGAGACCTCTACACTACTCAACTACGAAACCTCAAGAAAGCAGTCGACCGTTCGGCCCTGAAAGACAAGAAAGTGTACTATCAACATGATAACGCTCGCCCACATGTTTCGAAACAAGTGAAGCAGGAGCTGATGGGATATGGATGGAATGTTCTCCCTCACCCCCCGTATTCTCCTGATCTTGCTCCTTCCGACTATTGGTTATTTGGCGATATGACACGTGCCTTCGAAGGAAGAAGCTTCAATTCCCGTGGAGCGGTCGAAGCGGCACTCAAACAATACTTTGCCTCACGCCCGGCTGGATTCTACCGCAATGGAATCCATAAATTGAGGGAACGTTGGAGACATGTTGTTGATAATGATGGACAATATAATTAATTATTCGGTTATTTTTAAATAACAAAATAAACTATTCAAAAAGTGACAAANACTTTCCCCCCAACCTAATACAATGGAAACAATTTGGCGAAAAACATTTATCTGCAGCTCCGAGTTGCGCATTTTTTCATTTTCACATACATAAGTTGAGCTGGGCACTCATGTCACCATTGTTGACTTCATTTATTAGCTGATCGCTCCGCTTCCTTGGAGGTTTAAAATCTTAGCTTAAATTCAGGAAAAAACCTAACCTCCTATGCGGGATACTTTTGATGTGATACCGCACATTCGTTCTTTTGCCATCTGATATTCCATCTCTTGATATGAAACTGAAAAATCTCATCATTTTCTATGCTCACCAATAGCTTCTCATTTTTTTAGTTCGACTGAGTCGATTCCACTAACCTTTAATTGTGATCCTGGAGAATACGAAAAGCAATGGAAATCATAAAATACATTTCAGTGGTGAGTGCAAAAAAAGTGTATATAGAAAAAAAGTGTATATAGAAAGAAGGTGAAAAATAGTGTCAAAAAGCAAAACTGTTAAAAAAGTAAAAATTTGCCTCTGTGCGCCACGCCTCCAGATTCGCACGTGTGGCGCAGTCGGTAGCGGCGCCGCACCACCAATGCCTGCCCCACAAGTTAACTCCTCGAGGGGCGTATAGAAACAGAATTTTGAGAAAATTACTTTTTTCATGTCCCCCATCTTTGAAAAACTAAAAAACCGTGAAAAAATACTGAAAATATTTTAACAATATTTGAAAAAATTAGCTAAAATTCGATTCTTAACTTTGATTTTGACCATATTTTAGAATTACCGAAATTCTGATTTTTCCGAAAATTGCCAAGAAGTTTTTGCCCAAACAGTTGCCCACATTTGCCCAGAAGTCGCTCACATTTACTAAGTATAATTGAGTTCACAACTTACCAATGATCAGTTGGGAAGCAACGACGATCCAGACGATGAGAAGAAAGGAGAAAATGGTCCTTGAAGATGACTCTAGCTAAGCCAGTAGAGACAAATTCTGGAAAACTTTTTTAAAGAATAAAATAATCGGAGACTGATGAGAAAGAAAACGAGGGAATGTGAAAAACCCTATTATGCCGTTATGCAAAAACCGGAGCTGTGGAAGATGGCCTAGTTACCGTAGTTAGCGAAAAAGTTTCCCGCATTTACCGAGTATAATCAAATTCATAACTTACAGAGAATTTCTTTGGAAGCACTGAAGACGATCCTGAACAGTATCTTGAAGACAATCCTGAAGATCTTGAAGAAGTTGTGGACGAAGACTCTTGAAGGACCAAATTCTGAAAAATATTGGATTGAAAAAAATGAAGAGTGTGCAAAAACTTGGAGCTGTGGAAGAGAGGGTGGCCTCGTCTACGGCCTAGTTACCGTAGTTAGCAAAAATTGTTTTCTTTTCGTTTTTTTCTTGATTATCGACCGTTTTTAGATTCAATAATAAGTTATTTATTCGACTTATTAGGAGGTTTCAAACACAAGAATCGTGGAAAATATATAGTAATCGAGAAAAGGCGGAAATTTCAGGTTCCGGTTGTTGTGGTTACTAGATTTATTGTACACGCCCACAATCTTTCCTCTTCCACAGCTTTGATATTACTATCAAGAAAGTTTCAATACTGTCTATGAAGTTTCAATCAATGTTACGCTCAACTTCTGCTTGCTTTTACAGAGTAAAACCAACTTCAAAACTTACAGATGATCCTTTCGAAAGCTCTGAAGACGATCTTGGAGACAAGCTCAAAGACAATCCTGACGATCCTGATGAAGGCGACAACGATGAGACGACGACAATGACCCGACTTCTGAAAAAAAAATAGATTTTAGAAAGTGATAAGAGTGTGATCGGAAAAAAAAAATAATGAAAAAAGCCTAGATTAAAACTAAGAAAACAGTTCAAAAAATGAGATGATGCAAATTTCGGAGTACGGTAGTGAACAAATTCACAGAAAATGTCCCATTGGACCGCAAATTGTTTTCTGTGGATGATTCAGTATATCAGCGAGATTGTGTCTAAACAATAAGAATATTTAGAGACGCAGAGATTCCAGGAAAAAGGGGCGGAGTCAATAACGGATCAATAAGAAAATTTCTGTTTGGCCAGGAAAAAAGCTTCATAAAAATAGTGTTAGAGATGGGAACTATGGGGAAAACTTAGAAATGTAAAAAAGTTTCATCAAAAATGCTCAAGGAGCAAGATTTATTCGAAGAAATTCAAAGTCGACTATTTTCTTCGCAGTCATATACCTTGGTAATCTCCGATAGAACCTAACTTTCAACTTCAAGCCAATTTATCTCGGTTTCTGTAAAAGGTGTTAAAAAGTTGTCGATTAATAGATTGTTTATCATAACATCATGTAGATTTTGTCAGTTGAACATTCTCAATAGTTCTCGAAAGAACCGAGATAATAGAGCTTAACGTTGACAGTGTGAGCGCCTCTCCATCACAGGTTCTGAACCGTATTCCGGAAAGCATGCTTCAATAAAGAAGAGAAAAAAATATATGAGAAATGAAAAATCAGAAAAAACAGTGATCTACAAAAATCTGAATGAAAGACAAACAAAAAATTAGTCACTCAATTGCTTAGAGAAAATTTGCAAGGCACGAGGGAGGAACAATTTGCAGGCGAAAGAGCGATGGGGACCAAGAAATTTTGATGAATACAGACTAATCGAGATAGAGAGAGAAAGAGAGAGCAACCAAATTCATCTTTTTGGAGCTGCTATCAGAGGTTATCCATGGGATTCAGATGCCATCGCAGCTGATGGATCTACCGTATTACCTCTAACAGAAACCTGCCGAATTCGTCAACTTTGAGGTTAATTATCTCGATTTCTGCAAGAGATATCTGAAAGTTCTCAACTGATAAATTGTTTGTTATAATATCACCACCTTTTGATAAGTTGACAAAATTTTGATATCTTCCCCAAGAATCGAGATAATTGAGCTCCAAGTGGATGGCTCAGGTGGCTTCTACTATAGGAAAATACGGTAATTTTTTGAATTTCTCATTTTTAGAAGGTCAAATGTAATTGTCCCTATCAGAACCGCAATTTCTATTGAGTCATATTGCAGACGTGATTTCATCAAATTGTTTATACATTTCCTACAAAAATCCAATCAATTTCGAAACAGAAATTAAAAAGACTATGAGATCCAAAACAATGAGTCACATTACTGTTTTTTTTCTCTGAAAAAAAAAGAATTTTTCGGGAAAAAAAGAGAACGATTAGAAAGCACCGGGAATTGGGGATCGAAGAAATTATGCAGTATCATAAAAATAGTGGGAAGTGAATACAAATTACAGGTACTAGAAAAGTAGAAGATCATGATGAAAAGATATTTGTGGCTTCAGAAGTTTGACTTTGCGATGTGGCTCTCTGGAAAAAAGAAAATTCTTCAAAGTTTGAAGGTAATAGGGCATTTTACCGTATTCCTTCTACTAGCAGTCTACCCAAACCATTAACTTTGAGTTCAATTATCTCAATTTCTTCAAAAAATATGAATGCTTTGCCAACAGATAAAGTATTTATCATTATAATATCACCAAATGCATAGGAATTGAGATAAAACTAGAAAGGTTCGGAATTTTCACTTTGATCGCGACTGAGCTCAAAGTTGATGGATTGGGATAGCTTTAATAGAGGAAGTATGGTAATTGGAAATAAAAATTCAAACTGAATTTTGGTGAAATCCGTATTGTATTTCAATGAATAAAAATGTTAAAAAATACAAACCTCATCCAGCTCTATATAAAAATTGGCAGCCGTAGTTCCCGATCGGCGGAATAGGTTGACCCATTTTTCCTCGAAGTAGTTTCCCGGCTTTCTGAAAACTTCGAAAACATTTTAAATTTCATTAGAATCAAATTCTAACTGTTTGAAGAGAAGTCGCAGTCGTTCTTGGTAGAATGAAGAGAAATACCAATAAATAAAAAACAGTGCGGAGCTGTAGAACAGGATGCACATTTGGCTAACCTCAGCAGCCAGCTTGAACAACTCATTCTGAAATTTGAGTATGTTGGAAGTTCTGAAAAGTCCAATCTTACTTTTTGATCTACAAAAGATTCTGCAATCCTCAACGCAGCACCGAATACATGGCAAGCTGCGAAAAATAACGTGACGACCCAAAGCATTCGGATAGCTTTTCCATAGTCAATTTTCTGCAAATGGTATGTATGTTAACTTTCGAAGAGCAAAAAACGAAAAACACATCTCTGGACAATAAGCTAATCGAACTTCTGTTTTTCACACCAGTTGATTTTGATCACTTTCAGAAAAACGGGGTTTTGAATATCTTATTTTCCAATACTGTACATACCGAAGTTGTAAGTGATTCCGCACGTTGCTGGGATTCTCTTAACTCCAGAATCGATTGATAGTTGAGCCGAGCCATCACCACAAAGGGGACCATATAATCGAATAGTAGGGACATCAGAACATGGTACAAAAAGAAGTACCACAAATTTCCCGTGGCACTTAAAATTCCTGGCTCAAGCTCAAAAAATTTGGGGGAGTTGAAAAACACCGAACAAATTACAATGATTTTCAACATTCTGATTGAAACCTTTTGGGTGCATCGAACTAGAGCCTTCAAAATAATTTTTATTAAATTGTAGAATTCAAAAAAACATACTTCGAGCGGTTTACAAACTGCAACCCAACGTTCCACCGTCATTGCCAATCCAATGCATAAGCTCATGGTTTTCAGCAAACTCTGCATTGGATATGCATATTTGGTAGCCATGGCGAGTATGTTCCAGTTTTCAATGTCCCTGAAATGTTAGTTTTACCGTATACGCTCTGGCAGAACATCACTTTCATTTTTGAGGTCAATTATCTGAATTTCTATAAGTGATATCAAAAAAGGTCAACTGATAAAATGTTTATCATTATATCACCAAAATTTTATCAGTTAACTTATTTTCCAAATCTCTCAAAGAAATAAGGATAACTGAGCTCGAAGAGATAGTACATAACTTTGTTCTATTTAACAGATTATTTATCATTCTCAGTTTGTATTTTTGATAATACTCATAAACTGGAATCAGGGGTAAGAAAACAAAAACTTTGAAATGGAAATTAAATCCTGCATATCGAAAATTTTCGGTTACGGTACTTGTTTGACTTCCGGCAATTCACAGAATTTATGTGATTTTTGTTTGATTTTTTTGTTTCATTCCAAATTTAGACAGTTTTTAGTGGGATTGAATTCAAAAATTTGATTTTCGAAAACTCAAAAAATTCCAAATACTCTATACCGGAAACTCAAAGTATTCTGAGTTTGGGAAATATCGAGATACTTCGAAAATCCAAAATTTGAGAATAAAATACTGAAAATTTTCAAATTTCTTTAAATCCAATAAGTTCTATTTTACATGGTTCTCTTTAAAATGCTTCAACAGTCTTCTAATGCCTACCACAAATCTTTCCCTCTCTTTGAACTTACCCGGTCGGTAAAAGCCATTGACAGCAGAGAGGAACGGCCATGATCAGGAGAAGAAGGTCACACACAGAAAGCGAAAATGCCAGCAAAGTGCTAGGTGACCTGCTCGAATTCCAATTTATGCAAATAGAAAGTATGTTGCCAGCTATTCCAACGAGAATGATTAGGAAAGTGGCAACAGCGATAATTTGATGCCAGAAATCGGAATCCATTCTATAAAATTATATACCCACTTTTTTTCAGGAACGTTCTTACATTGTTCAAAACATTAATCAAACAATAATGAAATTTATGAATGGGAAAAATGAATGATCGTGGAATAATTTGCAATGAGTTTGTAGACAGAAATATATTTATTACCCACCCATATAGCGCGAAAAAATGTAATAGGCAGATGTTTCAAAAATGTGTCCCATACTGTCTCTGCGTATTGAAAAACATAGCATGACCTTTATGTCATTTTCCTTTATTTTTTTCTATAGTATAAAATGCTCAAGTGTACAGCCTATGTGGCATTCTCGAGCCATATCTATAATTTCTGTTATGGGATTTTTCCTGTGAATTGCCAAAAAATTGATAATAAGTGTTTTTAAGAAAAAGAAAAAGTTGAAGTTAGGAAAAATCAATATTATGGAATCAAAGAAAATTGATTTTATTTTTTGAAAAACAATAGAGTATCAAATCTTGCATATTTGAAATTTCATCATTCCCTCCGACATATAGTGAGTCATTTCATTTTTTTTTGTTTTTTCCCTGCGCTATGTTTTCAGCACGTTTTATGGTATTAAACTGTATTCAATTTGGAAATCCGAACGTTTTCTGCAAATCATTTGCTGCTAAAACTTGGAAAAGTCCTCTTTTGCACCAGAAAAGTACCACCTGATTTCCGAAAGTTTATTCAAGAAAACAATACATTTTTACATCTAACTTTGTGCTCAATTACATAAAGTTTTGCGCTTAATTATCTCGGTTACTGTGTGAAATGTGAAAAAGTTATCAATTGATAAAATGTTGGTGATATTATGATAAACAATTTATCAATTAACAACTTTTTGATATCTTGCGTAAGAATTTAGATAACTGAGCTCAAACTTGACAGTATGGGGACCATTATATTATAGGTGCTAGTGCATGTACAGCAAGAGTGCATTCTGGAATTATATAAGAGCTGTCATCTCAATGATAATTGGCTCTGTAGATTGATTGGAGTCTTTGGCGATTGGAGTTGGTTGAGGATCATCTGATTTTTTTCGGATTTTCAGAGATATTTCGTTTCTTTTCGGATTCTCAGAGATACGATACATACAGCACCCGTCAGTAAGGATAGAAAAAATGTGTTTTTTACAGTTGATTTTTATCATGCTCAAGATTCTGGATCTAGGCTGTCAAGTTCGCATTCACAGAAAATGTTTTAAGTCCTAGCTTCCCAGCTATTTGCCTATTTTTGAAGGACATCTTTTTCAGCTCGTTTAAATACTGAAAACGTAAAAAAGGTGTCTTTCGGAAATTGTCGAATATCGGAGAAACTATTGTAGGGATTTTCAAAATTTTTTGTGATTGCAAAATTTTCAATCTATATTTGTTTTACACCTTTCAACACTTTCAAAGGGGTCGGAAACTTTCAAACTCCTGAAAACAATCAAAATCAATTGAAAAATGAACCGGAACTGTATGTATGAATGAAAAATAACAACTTGCCTGAAAACTGAACGTAGGTATTCATTGAACTTGGAAGAGTACATAACATAGATGAAGAAGGTCGCACTGCTGTGGAGTATGATGCACATATTGCTGATTTCAACAAAATTTTCGAACGGTTCCTTCTGAAACTATTTTTTGCAAATTTTTAGACGTTAATATAAACTCACTTCTGTAGTTTGTCGATCAAAAATACATTCGGCAACTTTAACAGCAACGCCAAAAAAGTGGCATAAACCAAAAAATACAGTCACATGAAGGAGCATTTTAGTGGTGTTTTGGTCTTTTTCTTGCTGAAAACGGTCTTTGATTGATTTCTAGAAATTATTTCTAATTACAGAAATTGTGAGCAATTGTCTTTGTTCTTTGATTCTTCTCAATTCCAGGATCACTTGGCCATTGGCCACAGTCATTGCTATGAAGGGAATCAAGTAGTCAACAAGGGTTGAAAGCACAAGGTGGTACGATATAAAATACCGTTGGTCTTTTTTGGCATTCAAAACACCATGGTCTAAATCCAAATATCCATATTCGTTTTTCACAATTCTGTATTCAAAGAATCTCGGAAAATTGAAAATGAGAGAAAAAACTGTGATGATAATCACAGTTCGAACTGAATTTCGATAAGTGCATCGGGCTTTCACCTGGAAAAAAAATTAAAATTTTTTTTCTATTCAATGGAGCATACCTGTAGAGGTTTGAAGACAGCAAACCAGCGCTCGATGGTAATGGCTCCCAAAATGTATAGGCTGGCAGTTTTGGCGGCGACCAATGGGGGATACAGATACTTGGTTGAGTAGATAAGCATCAAACTTTGTATAGAGTGAGAGGTTCTCATGTTTCTGAACTATCAAATTTCGAGTTTCTGGAGACTGAAGTCATTTTTTTTATATCAGTGAATGTTGATGAGATCAGGTTTTCAGAAAGAAATGTTGGATATTATGACAAACGTTTTGTCAATTAACAAATTTTTGATATCCTAAAAATAGTTTGAGATAACTGATCTCAAAATGCAAATATGAGGTTTGGTTCTATTAGGAAATTCACGGTATGTATTCCAATAAAAAAGATTTGCATATTACAGAGCTTGGTATTTCGATGACAATACTGTCAAATTAGATAAACTGGAATCTGGAAATAGTGTCAATTCACGATGCCCCGTCCCCAATTCTGATACTGTATGAATCGAAATAAATTTTTGTTAAATTTTTGAGAAATTTTCTCAACCAAATTTAATTTTTAAACATGATCGTTAGCATCTCTAAAACCTAAAGATCTCCAAAAAGCAGAACTCCACTGTGAAAACCGCCCAAACAAAGCAAAAAACCCGGAAAATTACGTTTTCGCCACACTGAGTAATGCGCAAAACAATCGGCGGCTCTAAGATTTTTAAGATGCTAGTTTTTTGAATTCCATATTACATATCGGATACCTTATACTCACCCAATTGGTAACATGCAGAGGCAGGAGAGAGGAAGTGCAAAAAACAAAAGAAGAAGGTCACAAAGGGACAGAGCACTGAGTAGAAGGGAAATTGCAGATTTTTTCATTTTCCGGAAGATGTAGAAGGACAGGATGTTGCCGAATATTCCAATTGAAATTAGCGGCGCATATATGACAGCAAAAACTTGAGGCCAACCGTACAACTTCATTCTTAATATTGAAAAGATATTGTGAAAAATATGATGTTATATATGAATGCTTAATTAATGAAAATCTGAAAATTGTTTCGAATCTGGCTGACATAAAATGAAGCTGGAAAAAAAGTTTCAGACCAAAACAAATAAAGCTTTTTTCTCGTTTCAATGAAAAAAGCGAGAAGTTCAATATATTTTTTTGAGTACAAAAAGTTTTTGGCCAACGTTCTTTTTTCATTAAATGAAAGAAGTTTGCTGCTTTCTTCGGAATCTTTGAAATTAATCATTTTTTCAGCGCTGCTCTTTCGTGCTCTTTCAAATGAGAAAATGTGGCAAAAACTATGAAAAAAGTTAGTTTCAAAACACATAACTCTGACTGAATCTGCCTTTTGGCCAGTGGTGGAGTTCAAAAATAAGCAGTCGGCATCAAAAGAAAGGTTATATAACCTACAACCCTTAATTTGCGGAAACAGTAGATAAAAAATCACATCTGGCACAACCAGAAAAGTTTTGTTATAAGGTAATTGAGCTTGGCAGCCTCATTATATGATAATTGAGCTTGGCAACCGGAAAATGATATTATACAGTAAGCACTAAACTCAAAAGAACAAAAAACTCGAAAAAAAATCCAGAAAAGATGACTCTGGAGGCGGGGATTTTTGAAAGCACGAGGATTCTGGAAAACGTGATTTTGAGGTGCTCATAAAGATTTTGCAGCGTTTTGCAATTTGGCAAATTGAACTTTTTCGAAAATTCAGGAATCTTGGAAAATTTAATTACATCGAAGTGAACCTCAAAGAGTTTTGCTGTGATTCTTTCATCCATTTCTTTTTTTATAGCAAAAACTTGGAAGCAGGAAATTGAGAATTTCGATGAAAGGAGAAAAGGACAAAAGCACTCAAAATGATTATCTCTAAACTTGGGTGCGCATTTTTATAGTTATCTTCTTTTTTTTTGAAAACTGGGTCATCTGCAAATTGATTTTATGTAATTAGGGAGGTAGCCTGTAATAGCGTAGACATATTTCACAGGGAACCTCAACACCTCAAAAACCCAGATTTTGATTAAAATTTCAGGATATGTTCAAAATCACCTATCTAGACACCCCTGAAAATTTTAGAATCCGCTTGCCAGTTTCAGCCGAGTTATATCAGTTTCAGTACACAAAAATCGATTTTTCCGTGCAAAATCAGCGTTTTCAAAGACGATTTTCTCCGCTCCTATGAGGTTCCAGAACTTATTCTTTTTGTGTTATACTTAAAACTTATTGAAATTTGATATTTCAAACTTTTTCTCGAAAAAATAATTTTTTCAATTTTCGAAGAAATTTGGAAAACCGTGAAAAAATTCAAAAATAAAAAAATATTATTGTTCTTGAGAACAAGTTCAAAATATCAAATTTCATTAAAATTTGAGCATAACACAACAAATTTCAGGCTCTGAAACATCCTAGAACTCGAGAAAATCGTCTTTGAAAACGCTGCTTTTGCATTGAAACGGCAATTTTTGGTACTGAGTCTGATGTAACTCGACTGAAACTGGCGGGCGAAGTCTGAAATTTTCAGAAATGTCTAGAGAGGCTATTTCCAACCTATCCTGAAAGTTTCATCAAAATCTGGGTTTGTGAGGTGCTGAGGTTCCCTTGTCAAAGTAATGAAAACGGAACGCTTTTATAATTTGAGAAATGAATATCGAATTGAATTAAAAACATTTTCAATCAACAAGAAATCGATTGGCAGCATTTTATGTAAAATATATTTTTAGAAATTTGCATCTGGATTAATAAATATGCTTATCAATATTGTCAAAAAATCCTAATATAATTTGTATGTTAAAAAATAATTTCATGTCCCTTGAAGCTTATGTTGTAACTAGGTTCAAGTAATTTACAAAAAATTGAAGTTTGAAAAGTATGAACAAAGTGGTCTTGACTTTTAAACACGTTTCCCCGTAAGATCATTAGAACGGAAAAACTTGACTTATCAGTTTTTTTCTAAAAACCCATCTTTTCAATTTACGAATTTCATCTGTCGTTCGTTTTGGATAAAAATGGATTTCGAATTTAAAATCGCGCATCATTATCATTTGGATTGTGTGATTAGAGTGTCATTAAGTATTCTATTCTATCTCTATTGTCTATAATCTCGAGTGAATGGTAATCAATGATTATATAATGACTATCTTTCTGTTTCCCTAATTTTTGTGTGCTCATTAGATCGCTTCCTTTCTTTGTCTCGTTTGAATGAATATCATTTTTTGCTCATATGACTTGATTATCTTTCTAATCTGTTTTGACGAAAAATATATCTGTATGCTATTCGGTGGTTCGCCAACGATAAAGATGGCTTGAGACAGTCCATGAAATTATTTCTAAATTCACACCATTTTCCCTAATTTTTCCTTCCAATTTTTCCGAAGAGCTTCATGCAGCTGTTTCTTTTAAAAAAAATTGTTTACTAGAATAGTCTTCGATAAGTTGGTATCGTTTTTGAACATCTGGACTCGGAGACAGGAAGAAGACTGGCACCGAATCTCCCTAATTGAGTAAAAAATATATGCATCTGTTGAATTCACAGGTGTTTTGTCTAAAATGCCAACGACCGATCTGTTGAACACATTTACGTCCTGGATTCCTGGTTTTTGGGATCGCATTGTATAGTTGATGTAAAAACAAATATTACAGAAAACCGGAACGCAGAAAGGGTAGTCTGGGATGTTTGAAATGGTCATTTCAATATTTAGCGGAACGTCGAAATTTTCTAGTTTTAGTTTTAAAACTTCAGACTTTTTGAAGTTTTGGAATAATTCAATTTTAATGTTCTCAAAATTTTCCCATCACAAAAGAATAAAAAAGTTGATATTTAACAACCAGAGGCCGTATTGATGAACATTTTCCTTGGAAAACCATTCTTTTTCCAAAAATCAACTGAAAAGGCGTGAAAATTCGTTTTCTTTTTGGAAAATTCTTGTCTTTTCATGAAATAAGCATACTAATCTCGAATTATGTTTACAGTTAATTTTACGAGTTTTCAGGTTCTAAAAAAGTTGTATGTTGATAGAATAGGATATTAAGTACATTATTATCTGATTTAAAACCCGAAAAATGCTGCTCTTCGACTTAAATATTATCTTTTTTGAAACAAATGACATGAACGGATAGTGCTAGGAATTTTAAGAACTGTGACCAAATATGAAAAATTTTCCGCCCTATTTGAGAAAATTTAGTTCAAAAGTCATTTTCAGACAGTTGATTTTTGAAAAGAAAATGGTTTTCCAAGGAAAATGTTCATAAAAAAAAGAAATAAATCATATGATCCAAAAACAATTTTCGGAAATTTTCTGATCGGAATTACAGTCCAAAAGAAAATTATCAATTTAATTGTTCCGGTCGGAATTTCCAGCTTTTCAAATTCGGTTCCAAACATCACTGACACAAACTGAAATTCAAAAAGTTCGATTTTTTTTCGAAAAAATTGGAACTTGAAATTTTTAAATTTCAGAAAATTTTTTATCAGATTAATCAAATTTGATGACTCTCAAATCATTTTTATAGTCTACAACCTTTTCGCCTGCATGATCACGATATTGATATCTGATGACAGAATCTGCGATGCAAAATGGCCAGTGGCAAAATGTCATAGAGCCGATAAATTTAGCCATCTTTTTTTCTAATTGCTATTAATGGGTTGGTGATTTGCTGATAATAATGTTGCATTGAGAATGTCCATTAGAATGATGTTCCGAACTGTATCAGTTTTCCCATTTTTCCCTATAATATCTCCAGTGACCAAAATTCCCTAACTGAGTCTAATAAATAATGTGCATCTGTTAAATTCACAGGTGCTCATCTATCTAAAATGGCAACCATCCGAAATTTAAAGTGGAAACTTAAACATATCTACTTTCTGGGAAGAGTTTTTGAGCCAAAAGCATGCAACAGTAGAGAAAAATAAGTTAGGGATATTAGAAATGGCTTTTTTAGAATTTCTCGATATGTGGAAAATTCCGGGTTTAAACGTTTCGGAGTTTTGGAATATTCCGATTTTGAAACCTTTTCAAAGTTTCGAATTATCGGTTTTTTAAAAATTATTTATGTCTCAAAGCTGCGGAAAACGGATAGTAAGCGACCTGAAATTTGGAAAAATCTGAACAATTTTTTTTCTGAAAAATTTGAAAAATAAAAGTTTGGAATTTTCCGAATTTCAGAATGTGTTCAATCAGAAATAGGAAATTCAAAAACTCTTAAATTATGTTTGAATTCAATCCGCCATTCTTTTCTTACTGATTGGTTTTGGTGCATTGGTGATTTGCTGTTTATAAATTTGAATTGAGTGTGCCACTAGAATGATTCTCCGAACTGTATCATTTCCCCCGAATTTCCCTCTAATTTCTCCAGTGAAGATGAAGAGCTCCATTCAACTGTCATCAACACCAAGCCCCTGAATCTATTGACGGGGTTTTTTTTAGAAGATACTTGTTTACTAGAATAGTCTTCCACAAGTTGGTATGGTTTCTGAACTGAATATCTGGGCTCGGGGACAGAGACAAGGCTGACACCAAATGTGCCTAACTGCGTCAAATAAATTATGTGCATCTGTTGAATTCACAGGTGTCTTGTCTGAAATGTCAACTGAAATGTCCAGATTTTATATGGATAAAAATGGATTTCGAATTTAAAATCGCGCATCATTATCATTTGGATTGTGTGATTAGAGTGTCATTAGGTATTCGATTCTATCTCTATTGTCTATAATCTCGAGTGAATGGTAATCAATGATTATATAATGACTCTCTTTCTGTTTCTCTGATTTTTGTGTGCTCATTAGATCGCTCCCTTTCTTTGTCTCGTTTGAATGAATATCACTTTTTGCTCATATGACTTGATTATCTTTCTAATCTCTTTTGAAGAAAAACATCTCTGTATGCGATTCGGTACTTTGCTGTCGAGTAAGACGGCTTAAGACAGTCCACCAAACGATCTTCCAAATTACATCTTCCAAATTAATTTCCCGTAATTTTTTCTCTAGAATTTTCTAAGCGTTCCACGCATCTGTTCTCAGTATCTTTGGTGCCAGGCGTTTGAATTTGTTGACGGGTTTCTTTCAGGAAAAATGTTGTTTACTAAAATAGTCTTCCGCAAGTTGGTATGGTTTCTGAACTGAACATCTGGGCTCGGGGATAGGGACAAGACTGGCACCGAATATGCCTAACTGCGTCTAAAAAGTTCTGTGCATCTGTTGAATTCACAGGTGTCTTGTCTGAAATGTCAACTGAGATCCAGATTTTTGGGATCACCACATATGCCTAGCAGGAATGAAAAAAAATCCGCACCTGTTGAATTAACAAGTGCTCGTATGACTGCAATTCCAACCAAGATACCTCATTCAGTCTAAACTTGTAGAATCTACAAAAGTTAATATTTATGAATGAGAAATTTTAAAAATTTAAAAATTGAAGTATTCCAAACATTCATAAATTCAAAATTCATAACACTCCAAAATACCGAAAAAAAAATTCAAAATGTTAATGTTCTAAAATTCCGAAATTTTAGAGTTTGGAGCATTTTGAAATTCATAATTCTAAAATTCCAGATGATTTAAAAATCAGAACATTTCAAAATCGTGATATCTGAAATTTTCAAAATGCTAAAAGTCAGAAAATTCAGGGATTCTGAAAATTTGAAACTCGGATTTTGCCTTTGCGAAATTCCGAAACTTTAAAAATCAGACTATCTAATTTTCAACATTTTCAAAATCAAAATATTTTGAAATTCCAATATTTCAAAATTTCAAAAATTGGATTATCCCGAATTTCTGAAACTCTCAAAATTGGAATAATCTGACATTCAAAATTTTGAAAATCGGATTATTTCCAAATTCTAACACTCCTAAATTTTTGAAATCGAAAGATTCCGAAATTCCTAAATTTTCAAAATCGGAACATTCAGAAATTCCGAAATTTTCTAATCCGTGATTTTCTAAAGCTCAAAAATGAGTTAAAATCGGAATATTCCAAAACTCCAAACTTTCTAAAAATCAGAAACCAGAAAATTCCAAAATTCCAAATCATTCAAAACCAAAAAAATTTTCAAATTTCACCACGTTCCGGAATTCCTGAACTTGAGAAATTAGAATATTTCCAATTTTCAACTATTTCAAGATTTTCAAATTCCTTATATCCCAAAATTCTAGAAATTTTGGAATACTTCAAAAAAATATTAGGTTGGCGGGAAAGTCTTTGTCACTTTTTCAATAGTTTATTTCTCAAAGAAAAAATAACCGAATAATTAATTATATTGTCCATCATTATCAACAACATGTCTCCAACGTTCCCTCAATTTATGGATTCCATTGCGGTAGAATCCAGCCGGGCGTGAGGCAAAGTATTGTTTGAGTGCCGCTTCGACCGCTCCACGGGAATTGAAGCTTCTTCCTTCGAAAGCACGTGTCATATCGCCAAATAACCAATAGTCGGAAGGAGCAAGATCAGGAGAATACGGGGGGTGAGGGAGAACATTCCATCCATATCCCATCAGCTCCTGCTTCACTTGTTTCGAAACATGTGGGCGAGCGTTATCATGTTGATAGTACACTTTCTTGTCTTTCAGGGCCGAACGGTCGACTGCTTTCTTGAGGTTTCGTAGTTGAGTAGTGTAGAGGTCTCCAGTTATTGTTTTGCCCTCGGGCAGAAGTTCCCAGTAGATGGGGCCGTCCACTCCCCACCACACAGAGAGCATAACTTTTTTCGGATGAAGGTCGGGTTTGGGGACATCCTGTGGGCTCTCTCCTTCTCCAACCCACTGGGATTTCCTGTGGTGATTATCGTAGAAGACCCACTTCTCATCTCCGGTTATTAGCCGGTCCAGCCATCGATCGCCCGCGTGGAGAGTGAGAAGAGTAATCGAATCGTCGACTCGGCGGTCAAGGTTGGCTTGAGTCAGGTGATGAGGTATGAATCGACCAAAAAGTTTTCTCATTCCAAGAGACTTCAAACCTTCAAGGACTGTGCTATGGTGAACTCCGAATGTGACAGCTAGTTCACGGCTAGATTGAAATGGATCCGATTGCAATGCGTGCTTCAGCTTGTCCAAATCCAACTCACGGGGTCTCCCAGAGCGATCCTTTTCATCGAGCGAGAAGTCATCTTTTTCGAAACGATGGAACCAATTGCGAATAGTATTGTAGTGAGGGGCATGTGTGTTGTACACATTCTTCAAGAAAGTTTCCGAATCCTTCATCGTGGTGTGAGATAGGAAGAGGTAAATCAAAACATGTCTGATGTGAATAGCAGTGGGAACAAACATATCGTTTCAATTACAGATGAGGAGCAGGGAAGGAGATGGGGACTTGTTTATATGGAAGGTTCTTATCACCTTGTTATTCACTAAAGTCGATATCATACACAGCCTCCATATACGAGAACAGTGATTAAACAAACAGAGTGACAAAGACTTTCCCGCCAACCTAATATCCAAAATTCGATAGTTTTCCAAAAATTCAACATTTTGGGATTGGGAAGATTTAGAAGTTCTAAAACTTGAAAATTTTAAAATTTACATAATAGGAATATTCTGAAATTTCGAAAGTCCGGGAATCCGCGGATTCCAAGAACTCTTTAATGCTCGGGTCACAGGTAATTTCGATATTCTAATATTTTTCATCTGATCCCTATTTCACTGTCAGTGGTCTATTTTCTCGTTGCTCTCCCTCATTCCGAATTCGCAACATCTGTCGCGCTTTCCCTAGTTTTTGTTTCTGGAATATTCCCATTTTTCAGTTTTAAAAAAGTAGCACCTGCAGTTGAGCCACCTGTTTCAACTTGTTTACGACTATGCATTCAGATTTTTTGGGGATGGGCCAGAGCATCTGTCATTTTTAGAGTTTTTAACACATATTGAGCAACAGCTGCCACATTACCATATTTTGTCCCCCAAACGCCCCGCCCCAATCCATTTTTGTAGCTTTGAACTTTCTCGATTCTAGATTTCTCTTAGTTTTCTTCTGGTAATGTATGTTATTTCCTGTGCTCATTTCTGATAGCAATAGGAACGAAGGCTTACAGAAAAAGTTCCGTAGGTACCACACTTAATAAAATGCCACAGGAGTCATCAACTTTGCACCCATACATTTTATTTTCTGTTAAAGATACACATAAATAATCAACTGACAAATTGCTTATCATAACATTAGAACTACTTGGCCAGATGATAACTTTTTGATATCTTTTACGGGAACCGAGATATATATGCTCAAAGTTTAAAGTTTGGTGCCACTCTATTAGAGTGTTTACGGTAATTGAGGTGACATTCACTAGTGTTTACGGCAACTAGGGTTTACCATAATTTTGAATTAAAAAAAGTTCTACCATAGTCTCCTCCCTCATTTGAGAACAGCTGCCACTATCTGCAACAAAATTATGCTCCACCCATTCATTCATTTCTCATTGTCCATCTACATAATACCCTTTTTCGATGGTTTTCTTTTTTGAAAGTTCAAATTTTTTATGTTATTTCCTTTTTGAGTTGTTATACATAAATATTTTTCAGCTACAGAAGTCCAACTGCATCTGGCAGCTCAAGATGCACCTCAACAAAGTGCTTCTCTTCGCCTTCTTCTTCGTCATCCCTCTCTCCGACCAATGTCATCCGCCACGAGTGACAAATCACATCACATCAAAGTCGGAGACCACGTTGACTTTCTGAAAGGAGATTTGATCTCGACAAAATGGTGTTATAAAATTCCAAGATTCTGCTCGGAATCAAATGGAACGTGTTCACCGAATTCGGATGACGACATTGGAGACTACATCCTTAATGTTAGTTGAACATTGAATAGTTTGAAACAAAACTTTAAAAATATTTTTCAGTACCGACCAAGGCCGTATAATACCTCTTCAGGTATTATGCTCCACGTGGTGGCAAGACCGAAGCTTCAACACACCTATGGTTAGTGGGGGATGTCATATCACGGTGGCCTAGAAAACGAAAAAATTTAAAAAAATGGTAGTTAGGCCACATTGGTAAAAAAAAATAGTCTGATTTTGAGCAATTTTGGAGCCAAGAAAATTAGTAGCCTAGAAAACTCTAAGTGTGAAAGTTAGATCACCGTTTCAGAATAGTCTGTAAACCATAATATGTCTGGCTATTCATTATATACATAATCCATGAAAGTTGATTCTAAGCTATTTCAACATGGTGGTTTAACTTTCGCAAAATGAGTTTTCTGGGCCAACAATTTTCATGATTTAGAGTTGTCCTGATATTTTCATGACATTTTAGGCCGCTTCAACATGATTACGTCTCTCGGCAATTGAGTTTTTAGACCACCATAACCTATAAGCGTTTTTAAAATTACCTGCAACTTCTCTTTGGCAATTTAAACATGCTAGATTTCAGTGAGATCAATAAACATGTTGATCTGTTTTATTGTGGCTTCTCTTATGATAATTAGTGATTTACAGATGACCACGAAGTCGAGCTCCCAACGAAGATAGAAACTACCTCCACTGGTCCATCTACTTGGCTCCCGATAGTCTTTCCCCCCACCCAAACGAGAAATGGCGCTGCTTCTCCAAAAAAGGAAATTTCGGATTCTTCAGCAGGTGAGGAAGTTTGGCCTAAGATGCACCGTTTTTAGGACATTTACCACAATGGCCTAACTTTTGCAAGTTGGGTTTTTAGGCCACCATTTTTATGGTATATTAGAAGCGTGGCATCCGCCGGATACCTTTCTCAAGAGATTTATCATGATGGTTTATATGAAAATTGGTGATTTACAGATGAAGTCGGCTTCCAAGCTGAGGAGGATACAACCAGCACACGACCATCAATGAAATTGCTCCCAATTGTCTTTCCGCCGAAAGCTGTGAAGCCAGAAGGTAAGGGAACTCAGTTTTAATCAGAAAATAACAATTTTCTTTCAGAAGTTACTGTCACTGCGGAAGTGGAACAGAGAGTCCAGAAAGCAGACGAAATCTGGAATATCCTCACGATCGGAGCCATCGTCGTTGCCGCATTCATGCTCATCATTCTCATCGGAGCGTTTTACTGCCGTCATTGAGCCTTCTTTTTCAATATTCACTTTCCCCTTCAATACTATTCAGCAACACCTATCCCTTTTCATTTTTTACGTAAATACCCCCCCCCCCCCCCAAACCGTCAAAACCAAAAAAAAATCGACATTTTTTCATTATTCTTCTGCCTGACCTTTTTTGAACCAAAAAATGGTTTTTCTTTAAATTGTCTTCCGGCCCGATCTTTTTGTTTATTTCTGCCCCTCATCCTCCAAATACCTCGAAAATCATAATTAATCTCACTATGAAACGATGCTTTTCTTATGTATTGTTTGATTTACCCTAATACTCCTGGTTCATATGCGATGCAAGTGAGTAAAATAAATTTTCTGGATAGAAATAAGACTAAAAACCACAATTCAGACCTGCGCTGGCATGAATTCAAAAAAGTAGAGGGACGCCAGAAAAACTAAGAGTAGACACTCAAAACAATGTCTCAGCCTTAAGCTAATTTATCCCTCTGTGCAAGATATCGAAAAGTGGTCAATTTCCAAATTTTCATCTTACTATCAACAACATTTCATCGGTTTATCGGTTTTGATATCTTTCACAGTAATCAAGAGAGACAGAAACTTTTTGTATAATTCCCATCAAACTAAACACACTTAAAGACCTGATTCAGAAACCGGTTTCAAAACACAATTTTTCAACAATAGAATGACCGAAGAATTCAAGAGGACAACCGAGGAAGACTTCTCTGGAGGAACAGCGGACTCTGAAAATGTTTCATCAAAAACACTGGATTGTTAACAAGGGTTTATTCGTTGAACTTTGGTTTGTGAACAAGAAGAAAAAAGAAAATATGACAAAAAAGCAAATTTAGTCGGAGGATTGGGAGAAAATCAAAAAAGAAGGTGAGTCAAAAGTAATAAAATGGGGGTTCGACGAATTTTGGGATCCAGCACTCATTGATCGTGCTCCATGGCCAAGAATGGCTTGATGGTGTGTCCGCGGGCAGAGAACTCTGCCATGGAGAGCGGAAAGTTGCACATCTCGGAGAAGCAATAGCACATCCACATTTTGGCAGCTGGGAGCCCGAATGTGCTTGGCATGTCCTGAAAAATAATATTTGAGAATCATCGAGGAATCTAAGCTTTGAAAAAACGCACCTGGAGGACACAGTCTTGCTCTTTTGGCATGTTGGCGATGGCCGACACCTTCGATGGGTGACGATCTCCACCTCCGAAGGCTTCGGATCCAGTGGCGACGTCGAAGAGCGAAGTGCAGAAGGTCCGGTGATGGAGGGTCTTGAAGACGCCTTCGTAGGCGTTGTATCCGTAGCAGGAGAGTCCGAGGGTTGGGGATGCCAAGAAGGCAACGAGGACGAGGTGGCGGAGCATTTTCAGGCTCGAGGTAGAAGAGAGGCTCGAGGTAGAGAAGAGGCTTGAGGTAGAGGGGAGGCTCGGCGAGAAGTTGATCCGTATGGAGGGTACTGCTCAATGATGATAAGCCTGACGAAGGGGTTTTTTATACTCTCCGAAGAATGGCTCCGCCCATATTTTCAAAAGTAATCTTACTTTGAAGCTCCGCCCTTCGGATATACACATTTAGAGCACATACTTTGTACCCTTCGTTTACTTCCTCGTTCCGTGCCAGGCGGAGCTGGGCACCTGGCACCTCGTCATCTAATCTCTTCCAGGGTCATACATCTTCATCGAAGAACTATTGAGCTATGAATCAGAACATAGAAAGTGATGCCAGGCGGAATGATGTGGAAAAAGTGTGATGCCATGTAAAGTATAAGATCACAAATAAAGCTTGATAAGAAAAGAGAATCTGAAATTTGACTAGCTTGACTCCTATCAGAAACATCAATAAGAGGTTGATCAAAACATCTCTACAGTTAAAGAAGTACACTTTTTTTCGTGTACCTGTAGACACAAAATCACAATTTTCGCACTCGGGTTTCAGGTAATATTTCAAAAATTCTAGAACATTAGCCGCTGCTAAACGTTTCTGCCATTCATAAAACTTGACATGGGACTGAAACTTTTGGAATTTTTAAATGTGAGCAACACCAGCAAACCAGGATCTCGGAAGTATGATGCTCTGAGAATTGATGAATGCTTCATTTTTCACATAAATTGAGTTATTTGAGGTAAAACTGAATGGCACTTTACTGGAGAAATACCCATACCGATACGTCTCAAGTTTGTATCCTCAATCGAAATGTGTAAAAACATCTTTGGGGTATATCATTTTAGGTTGTTGATTGAAATTTTGAAAATGAGGCTTACAATATTATTAATATTCAGCTCCTAAATCAAAATCATGTTGTTTAGTTCGCGATCCTTCTTTAAATGTATCAAAATATTTTTTAAGTTTTCAGGAACAGCTGTTGTGAAAAGTCTGATGAAAGGTCCTGAGAAAATATTTCAATATTTCAGATTATTGTTTTGCTTTGGCAAGGATCGATTGTACGGAAAATGAAAAATATTATTTTTTATAATTTGAAAATTTTCAGCGGTATTTCATAATTAGTCTGTAGCAAGACTTGCGCCAATTTAACAGCGCGTAGATTGCTTTGCTGGATTTCTACGAAAAAGTCGCCAATTACAAAAGCGATGATCTTGTTTTGTTCAGGACTGTCTGAAATTTTCAGACAATAGTAAAAAGTCTGGACTACTTTTTAGTACTTCAAAATGACTCTCCCATTGAACATTAACAATTTTATTCGGTATTGTAATTTGTTATATGAATTCATCTGATTTACTGATATTTTTACTGCAAAAAATGAGTCTGGTTTCATTCATAAATTGTGTTCATCACTTCAAACATTTCTGCGATTTTGATTTCATTTTTTATGATAAACGTCAACTACGAAGACTATACTCTCTTCCGATTCTTTGCTCGAGCTATCCTTTCATCCTATAATCTGTTATGCTTTTTATAAACTTTGAGAAATGTGTCATACAATGAAACGATATCATTTAGATTTATTGAAATAGGTATCAAGTGAAAAACACGTTTAACATTATCTGGGAAAATCTTCTCAAAGCGAAAAACATCTATCTGAAATCCTAAATTTCTGGTATTATAGTTTAAAAAAAAAAAGAACAAAGTTCGCTTATGGAAACAGTATCCAAGTTCTTGGGTAAAGAATTTTGGGATATCATGGAAAATGACGGAAAATTTTCATAAAACAAAGGGGTATTTCGTCTTATAATTTTAAATTACCAGGTTCTTTCTCATATCTTCATAGATTCCAAGGTACTCTTATCCCACAGTTTCAGCACTATTTTGGAATCCTTAAATGTCGAAACCCAGCAATTTGAATTCTGAGCCATATTCTGAATTTCAACGTCCAAATATTTTTGAATCAGTATTAGTTCTGTACCTGTTTCTGAGTTCCTCATTCCGTGGCAGGAGGCACCTGGCACCTAGAACCTCATCTCTCAGCATTACCTGATTCTGCATCGCATCTGCCCAGCTCTCCATCGTCGTCGTCCTCGCTTCACTCTTCTCGGAATCCACCGACTTGTCCTTTTTGCTTCTTGACTTGCTCCCGATCGTCGTCATCTCCAAGCCTGAAAACAAATCTTTCCTTCAAAAGAATGTTGGGCTTTTGTTGAATCTTCTACGGATATCGCGTCTTTTCGATAGGCCTTCACCTGATCGAACTCTTCGCTAGGCCTTCACCTGCACGAATGTCCTCTTCGCAAATTTTACAAGAATTTCCTGCCGGTTCCTTCAAACTCGGAGAAATCCTTGCGAAATTCACTAAAAATTGCGAGAAAAAATCGATAGGCCTTCACCTGATCGAACTCTTCGCTAGGCCTTCACCTGCACGAATGTTCTCTTCGCAAATTTTACAAGAATTTCCTGCCGGTTCCTTCAAACTCGGAGAAATTCTTGCGAAATTCACTAATTTTCACAACAATCCTCTCACTGGATCCTTCAAACTCTGGAGAGAATTGATGCAAAAACAACGGGAAAGAAGTAAAAGAACGGATAAACGGATAAAATAAGCCCCCAAAAAAAATAAGCTCGCGGTATGTCCGGGTATCAGGTTCCTGTGATAAAATAGAAGAAAATCAACAAGAAATGTAACAAAATCGGTTTATTATGAACAAGTTAGAAAGAAACAACAAATAAAAGCTTAGAATTCAAGCAAACTCACTTGAAATCCTTAAAAGAGTCTCTAGAACAACCACGAGCCAAATCCAAGCTCGCAATCACTCAAAACTGAATTTAAAACTGCGCGCGCGCCGAGCGGGATAGTGTCGTTGCGTGGGTAGAGGGAACCTTTAGAAGGGGTTGGAGGGTAGATGCACCAGGCAACTCTCTATCCAGGTCATACATCTTCACCGACGAAGTACGAAACTCAATACTAGGAAATAGAAAATGATGCCATGCGGAATGATATTGGAAAATATGATGCCATATAAGCATTATATGAGAAGGAACATTTCATAAACAAATTCAAATTCGAATTCGACTTTTGTGTTTCCTATAAGAGATGTCGAAAATATGCCGTTTTAAAAATGTCTCGCATGATATGACTAATATTTATAATTGCCGAAAATGTCATAGTTAGTCTGAAAAGAATTCGTGTCATTTCAAAAACGCTCATCTTGCTTTGTTGGAATTGTACAAAAAAAAGCTGCCATTTACAAAAATGATGGTCTAGTGTTGTTTCGTATTGTCTGACGTTTCCAGACACGTGGAAACATTCTGGACTAACTTTTCAGGATTTAAAAAATGACTGTCTAGCACTGAAAACACAAAATAATATATTCTTGTTTGGTACTTGAGTTTGTTTCACAGAACATTCTGATGTACGATATTTTCTGATTTGTTGACATTCTGGTTACAGTAAAAATCCGTAATCGTCAATCCAAATATATCTGCGTTTTCGATTTTATTTTTTATTATTAACGTCAACTACAAAAATCAAAATTACTTGATATTCTTCGCTCAAACAATCATTTTATCCTATAATCCGCTCTACTTATCATAAACTTTCCAAAATGTGTCACACAATAAAAAGAAAGAAAACATTTAGTTTTATTAAAAGTGAAAAACACGATTAACATTATCTAGAAAATATTCTCAAAACGAAAAACATCCATCAGAAATCATAAATCTTCCGGATAATACTGTTTTATGAGACATAGAACAAAGTTCGTTCATGGGAACATTATCTACTTTCTTGGGTCCACAATTAACATTATCTAGAAAATCTGCTCAAAATGGGAAAACATCAATTTAAGACGATAAATCTCTTGGATAATACAGTTTTATGAGGCAGAAAACAACGTTTGCTTATGAAAACAAATTTTGAAACGGTTCATCAAGTACAAGATCGTTATACCAGGAACTGTTTCCGTAAAGACTGTATTAGGAGGTCCAATCTTTTAGGGTTCTGACCAATTGGAAGAAACAGTTTTCCTCAGAAAAAATTCTGATTGTTGTTCAGTTGAGATCACAATTTGTAGAGAAAATCTTTTCTTTCATGGAATATCGTCTGCAAGTCCAATTTTGAAACACACAAACCTATACTTTACGTTTTTCACAACTAGAAATTGCCTGCGACGTCCGGGCCGTTTTTTAAAGTTTTTGAAAAACTTCAAAATCTTACAATTCGACTCATACTGGCCTTGTAACTTCGTTCCACTAATTTGACCATCTTTGGATCATTTCTCCGGCATCTTCAACTTCGTTTCCTTCTGAAAATCGTTGACTCACGTCGCAGAGATTTATGACTTTACAGATACATGATTTGTACTTCAAGGTTTACCCATGAATCTTTTTGATGTTACTTGTTTGCGTGACACATTCGAACAAATCTGATCACATCGAGATTGTAGGATGACATAAACAAATGAAACAAAGATTTACATAAAATTTATGTAGTCTATTATCCCAATAGTGGAAAAGAAGTTATGTTGATTTTTACAAACGTTTTCAGTCAGCAAAGTTTATCTAACCCAAATTAGTCAAACTTGAGTCATCACTTCTTTTTTCAGATCATGTTGACAACGAACTAAATTCATTTTTTGAAAATTTTTGTGCCATTTGATCCTGTAATACTACAATTTTGATGTGATCAGATTTGTCACTCATCAGAACAAGTAACATCAGGCAGATAGATCGAAATAGATAATAAGAGAATAACAAGATTAACCTTATCGTGCAAAAACATTGAAGTGTAAATCGTGTATTTGTGAAGTCATGAATGTTTCGTGATGAAAATTAATCACTGAAAAAACCGTGGAATAAATGAGATTTTATCATTGTAAGAGGGGCTGGAGATTTCATAAAATTTTAAGAATGCATGAATTAGAACTATCAAAAAGGTCTCGAAAACTGATGATTTGCTTCGAAAAAGAGTTCTAAT